GTCCCAATCCTTTTGGTGCTCTTCTATCACTTTCCACCATGCCGTCGGACTGTGGGTGTAGTGGCGTTGTCCTTGTCTAGCGTATTCCCAGTAGCTGCATCACTCTTTGGAAGACGTCGGATTCGAAATTGCGTGTCTGGTCTGAGTGAAGTTCCAAGGGGACGCCAAATCTACTGATCCAATTGTCCACCAATACTTTCGCGACCGTGACGGCTTCCTGATTTGAAATGGCATAGGCATCTGGCCACTTGCTGAAATAGTCGCTGGCCACCAGGATAAACCTGTTGCCATCGTTTATTACAGGAAACGGACCGGCCACATCGATGGCCATTCTTTCGAAAGATGCCCCAACGTTATATTTCTTCATTTTCCTCCTCGCCCTGGTATGGGGCCCTGGCTAACCGCACACGTCGTACACTTGCGACACTAACTTTCGACGTCGTCACGATATCTTACCCAGTAAAACCTGTCCCGGATTTTCGACAAGGTCTTGTTCACTCCAAAGTGGGCTCCAGATGTTCTGGCATGAACTCCCTCTAAGACCTTGGAAACCTTTACCTTGGAGAGTACCAACATCATGTTTCAGAGATACCCCCATCAGTACTCTCCCACTTTCGCTTCAAGAGCACATTTTCCACGACCAAGGAATCCCACTGGGTTCATAACGCGTTCAAACTGGGCGATTGGTCGGACAATTCCGCCTAGCCAGGTCGTTCGGCTCCGTTCTTCCACTTTAGTATTGACCTGATTGTGTCGTCTTCTTCTTGTTCACGCTTTAACCACGCCGTTGTCCATTCATCATCTTGCTCAAAAATCGTCCGACGAACGGGCAAGTTACCTTCTTCGTCGTCGATCCTGTCGCAGTGCTTACACTCTCCGCTCGGACGTCTTGACAAAACGTCAGGGTTGTTGTGAAGTCGACCCGCTCAATGTTTGATCCTAAAGTGGTACTGCTGTAGTCTTTCCAGCCAATGCGCTACTTGACCCTCAGGATTCTTTATCCGCAGTAGCCACGAGAAAGCAGCGTGATCGGTCGTGATCAGGAACTCCTGTCCGTAAAGATGCTTGTGGAAGTAGTTGACGGCTTTAACAGTAGCTAGCAATTCCTTCCAAGAATTCGACTATTTTCTGGAGGAGCGAGCATTTCTTGGGGTTCAGGTTCAAACGAGCGTTTTCGATTCGTTCTAGCACCTCCTCGAGATTCTTCAGATGGTCGTCAAACGTTTTGCCCATAATCATAACGTCGTCGATGTATACCAGACAGGTCTTCCATGTCAATCCTTTCAGCACCATCTCCATCAGCCGCTCGAATGTTGCTGGCGCATTACACAATCCGAACGGCATAAAGGTGAAGTGATAGAGGCCACTTCCGGTGGAGAACGCAGTTTTTTCTTTGCCGTCCGGGTGAAAGCCTACTTGCCAGTAGCCGCTCTTCAAGTCTAAGGTCGAAAACCACACCGAGCCGGATAAGGTCGTCAAGGTATCGTCTGTACGAGGAAGGGGGTAACTGTCTTTCTTCGTGACGTCGTTCAGTTTCCTATAATCGACGCAAAATCGGGTAGTCCCGTCCTTCCTGGTGACCAAGACTACGGGAGATGACCACACGCTGTTGGATTCTTCAATTACCCCAACTCTCAATATTTTGTCCACGAGTCTTGTAGCTTCTTCTTGTTTGGCTAGGGGTAGTCTCCGCGGAGCCTGACGGATCGGTTCCGTGTCACCAGTGTTTATTCGGTTTTCTACGATGTTGGTCTTCCCGAATGGTTCCTCCTCTGAGGCGAAGACATTACGGTGCCTATGAATGAGTCCTTGGCCAGTTTTCTCTCACGAGCAGACAGCTGGTCCCACTTGATCTCCAAGCCTTTGGTATCCACTTCCTTAGACTCATTCTCAATGTCTTCTTCTTCGCAGTTCAATACTCGGGCGACTGGCTCACACATTCTAATAATCTCCCCTTTTCTGATATTGCCTGCATTGGGAAACACGTTTGCCACACGTAATGGTATGTCACGATCAGTTTTGACTAGGGCGCTCGCAAATCAGGAGCTTGTTGATCGAGTCACGTGCCGGCTGCACCATCCCCAAACTGTATCCGGGGTTCGTCTCTACTCTCACGGGAACGATGACTTCTCATCGTCGCAGCTTCCACATTCGGACGTCCCAGCACGAATTCTCCGAAACGCAAAATCTTCTGTTCTGGATCGATCATTAAACCATGCCGGCTGATTAGGTCCATACCCACCACATACATTTTCAAAACTCAAAACACACACTCTTTTGGATGTGGGATACAGAAATGGAAAATGTATAAACCAGACCGTGGGTATTAAATTATTATCCACGCCACGGTCTGAAGAAGTATATACACTGAGCATTTTTCCAAACGTAACTATTAATACTTTGAACACATTTGGAAATATATGTAGTGTAATTGCTTCTTTTATGGGTCTGCCGTCTGCCCAATATTTGGGAGTACACAGGACATTGCTTTCGGCAAACATCGACTTCACTGCTATCATGAAGGATACATAGAGACTTCAGAAGAAAATAAAAAGAGAGTTGCTTCAAATATTTTAAATTCTTTTCCTCGTCCAATCATATATAATAATATATTCTCAATGGAAAGTTTTGGATTTTGAGTCTTTGTTAAATGGATATATTGAGTTTTGTAATGAAAATAGTTTCATTGTGAAATCCATAATAGCACTTGTGTCATTAAAATCGTCATAATAGCACTCAAATGACTTCAGATAAGTGGCTATAATGACACCGTCGTAGATAAAGGTGTTTAATCATTATTCATTAAATAAAAATTATGCTGTCAAAAATGATAAGACAAAATGATAAGTCAAAACCTTCTATGATGTACCTAAATTTTTAACCAAACTAGTTTTTACTTTTTAAAGCACAAATTAATAATTTACTGTAAAAAGTGGTAGTGGAAATTAAAGTAGAATCCTAATAAGGCTATTTCCACCTCAAAAATCATCTCTGGGTTTTCACCCTAACAAAAGTTAATATAGGGTGATGGGAATACCTATGGCCACTTTTAACTGTGGTAAAACACTATCTATCATTTTTCTGATCTGCCCCATCTCGAAAATTTTAAATTTTAATTTTATTTCAATTTTATGAAATAACATAACATTTTACAATTTAATTTTGAAAGTACAAAACGTTAAAGCAAATCGTTAACCAAAATTTATCCGTTTATCCCCTCCCAAAAAAGTGATGACGTCATTTCAAATTTTTTTTTAAGTTCTCTCTAAATAACTTTAAACCAATTTTTTTCTATCTTTAATTAATAATAATTAACGAGATATCGAAAAGTTCGAGATCATAAAAAATAACAGTGTTTAAGTTTTATGTAATATTATAAAATGAAGGAAATTGTAGATACAGATATGATAATTTCAAAATTATTTGTAACAATGAAAGTCGGATCGATTTCATGTACCCAACCAATCTAAAGAAAAATTAAACTTTGAACGCAGTCATCGAGTTTTGAATTTTCGTCTTGTCAGATTCAGCTTACTGTCGATTTGAAAGTTTGAGTTGAAAATTAATAAAAACAAGTTTTCATAAATCCATATTATTATCTGTGATCGTGTTTTTGATTGTACTTTCGATATACAGACTGCTCTAGTTAAAATTTCGCGGCTTTGTATCTTGAGAACGGATAGAGATAGAAATTTTGTAAAGGGTATTGTTTTTAACTTGAAAGGAGAAAGCTTAATCCGGAACTTTTATTTTTAAACAGAGTTTGGTAGACCATGAAATTGTGATTACATAGATACAGGCTGATTCAGCGTAAATAACGAATTTGGCCTGTCCGGATAGGCACCCCAAAATACATTTTTCTTCTGTTCCTTGATTCGTAGTAGAATTTAAAAAATATCATGAATCCAAGTTTGCATTCTTATGCCACTGTCAATTTTCAGCAGTTGAAAATTATTTCAAAAAATGCCAAGATATTCATTTACCAACGCCGAGAAAACGGACATGATCCAAATTTATGAAGAGTGTAAAAAAATGCTCCAGTGACGGCAAATTTGTACCCCCAGAGATAACTTGATGTTTTTAAAACAGACGTCGTGGATTTGTGGTATTTTTGAAATTCTAGTGTGAATCAAGGAATACATGAATAATATATTTCGGGTTGCCCTGTAAAAAATATAAAATTATGAATACATATACATAATAGTTATTTATGTATTAAGGGCATAATCAGGGAGATTGTGGCACGAGGGAATGTTTAAAGCCCAACGAAGGAGGGCTTTTTATTTCCCGAGTGCCACAATCGACAATTATGCACGTGGTACATACAACGTTTTATTCTATTTTAGTTTCTAAACTATTTTTAACGAAATATTGAGTATTTTCCGCAAGACTGTGTGAATTGTGCCGATGCGAATTTTAATACATAACTGGCTATTATTTTGATGTTGTTATGGATACCACGTTGATTATTTGATAATTCGTTTTTCAAAATGTAAATTAAAGAAGTGGAAAACCTTTATTCAAACGAAAGTTTAGAAGAATTTGAAGTCGGTCAGGTAATGATTTGATAAAATATTATTTTTCCAACTTGAAAAACGTTGAATATCGAAGCGTGTTTGAATAATTAATTGATTAGTGTAAATCATGTGTAAATGAACAATCAATTGTTGCTTAGCAATTTTTGACAGATTTGTGCTAAAAAGGCCAATTTAAGCCCGCATTTGGGTGCTTATAAATAAGATTATGGTTCTAAAATAGAATAAAAAAATGAAAGTTGATTGAAATAAAGCACTCACGCTTTATTTTATAATAAAAAAAGATCTGTTTCAAAATCAGTTATTTTAGCATACGTTTAAGCTCTCGTAAAATGTTGGTTGTCCTTTATTTCATTCAATTTTGCTTACAGCCCAGATTTTGGATAGATAGATTAAATTTTGCCGCCATCCATACTCAACTACCAATGTCCCCAACACAATCGTGTTCCCCTAAAGCATCACTAACCAAACTGTCAAAACGACAAGTGACGTTTGTGAGGTTAGAAATTTATTTACAATAATACATTTATGTAAATACAAATATTTCAAAATGTCGTTGTTTGCTGCTTATGCAGCAGATGCCGAAGCGCCGACACCAGATCCAACTCCACAAACCGCCAGCTGGTTACACAACCCCAGTTTTCAAATTGATGTGACACCAAATACAGAATCACAGAATGATAGTGTATCGGTCTCTGACAGCCCCGAACGCAAGAAACGCAAGAAAGAGAAAAAAGACAAGAAACATAAGCACAAAGCACACGAAGAAGAAGCTACTGTTACAGTTCCACAGCTTGAAGAGGAAGGTTTTGCCGTGGACAAGGCACGCAATAAAGAATTTCTTAGTGTTCGAACTATAGCACGGCCGTCAGCTCCTCGATATAGTATCAGGTATTTTGTTACTAACATGAAAGTACGACACAGAAAAAAGTTTAAGAGGTATTACCAACAAGTGCAGAAATTACTCGATAAAGAGAATTCTGAAAATAAAGAGCAAGTGATAACCAAAGAAAATGTTAATAAACTTGGAGGAAGTAAAAAAGATGAGAACTTCGCTGGGTTTAAACAAGAAGAAGAGCTGTCTCAAACCACAGCCAGTTATAATCGCAAATTAACAGAGAACACCCATGATATAAAATTGTGGTTAGAGTATGTAAATTTTCAAGATACTGTGTATCAGTTTGAGAAAACTTATCGAAAGGGGAGTATTGCAAAAGGCTTACGAGTTCTAGCAGAGCGTAAACTATCAATCCTGGACAAAGCTCTCACCTACAATCAAAACTGTGAGGAATTATTACGAGAACGTTTGAACGTTGCTGTTAGTATATACCCATCAGATGAGCTACAAGTCCAGCTAAAAAGTCTTGTTGATAAAGAGCAGGGTAATATAATCTTGTGGCAAGGTTATATTGAATCGACTCAGTGTTCCATGTCACATTGTAACACCCCAGCAGTACTAAATTTGTATACTAAGTGTTTATCAGTTTTGCACAAACTCCGGCGAAACTCGTCAATGGAAAGGGCCCAACTGGAAGAAAATATACTTAAAATGTTGTATCAATGCGGGCTATTTTTGAAACAAGCCGGTCTCTTTGAACAATTGTGGACGTTGTTGAGGTTATACTTAGAACTAAATCTATCACCGAGTGACAAAAACAAATTCAATATTCCTTCAAGTTTTCAAGAGAAACAGTTAGTAGAATTGGAAGAAGTTGTTTTCAATTCACAACTGCCCCTTCACGAATTGTGGTTAAGGACGGAGAAATTGAGAGAAGCTTGCCATTGGTTGCCGTACACGGAAGATGGACAGTGTGAAGATCCACAACGTTTGGTTTTTCCAGAAGATGTATCAGAGTTGATTCACCCTATCACAATGCCGGAGAACACGTTTAGGTTAATCGCGACGATTTTAACGTTACTGAAAGTACCGTTGTTGTCTACTCGACATAGTACAATGCAAGATTTGGGTTTAGATTATGTGCCTTGGGCTCTAGATTCTATTGAGTCACTTTTGTCTGCATTTTTACCGTTGTTTCCAATCGACCTCACCAATCCGTATTTAATTATTGATAATAGATTATCAGTGGGTCCCCAATATATAAAGGTTCTTCCTGGCCAAGAAGAATACTTAGATTTTGTATTGACGATTATGAAAAGTTGCACTGAGTGTTTGACTGGTGATGACAAAACTGCGACTACGGTGTGGTGGCTTAGATTCCAGAAGTTGTTAATAATTTTAGATAAACAAAACAGGTTTAAAATGCCACAGGGTTTTAGCAAGAAAATCAAATCTAGCGTGAAGAATTTACTGAAGCAGGAAGAGAACAGAAGCAATATTTTGTTTTACTGTGAGTATGCGTTAATAGAATATGAACAAGGGAATTTAGATACTTGCTTAAACATCATAAGAACCACCCTATCTTTTAGTTCTAATCGAGTAATATTAGCTAGCTCAATAGACGAAGAGCAGACTTCACGTTGCTACATGTATCGCATCCTTATTGAAGTTTATTTGAAAGCGGAAAAAAATAATGATGCCTTAAAACATTTAATAAGTTATGTTTTGGAGAAAAATTCTGTTGATAACGTCACTGATGATTTAATTAACCAGGCTAACCTCAAGTTCAAACATGTGACTCTACAACTCTTACAAAAAGATATTACGAAACTTCCTGTAACAAACCACTTTCTTCCTAATTTTACAATTGACTGGATTATTTGCAATGGATGGTTCTTGTACTTGACCAAAGGCCCGATTCAGTGTGGCACTTTCCTTGAGAATATTCTTTCAGAGATGGAAGAAAAACAGCCTGGAATGATGTATCAAAAGGAAGTTATTTACGAGTTTTACGTTGCTGTCTTGTTTAAACATTGCGTTCATAATCCAGGCCAAGGAACTTTTAAAATTTTGGACGAGGTGTTGAGCCGAGCCATCGAACAATACCCTAATAATCTATTCCTACTTGCTGTTCTTGCAAAAGAACAAAGTATGACGAGCTGCTCAGGAGTACCATGGTGGAAATTGAAAACGCTTCTCATGAAAACTGGGCGAGCCTTTCCCACATTATTTCTGGTGTTAATAACCAATCAGAATATTGTTTCCGCTCAGGAAACTTTGATTGAAACTTTTACCGGACGCAAGTATGAAATTAGCGGAAGTCAGAAGAACCGCATGTTGGCTTTATTTAGACGTATCACAAGACCGGATATGTGTACCAGGAGGTGTGGTTTGGTGTGGAGGCTGTATTTGCAGTTTATCCACGCATACTTTGATCCTGCCTTAGTCCGGAATGTGTATTATCGTGCCGTCGAAGAATGCCCTTGGTTAAAAGTAAGTTGATTGCTGTTTTTTATTTTATTGTCCTGTCAAAGAATTTTTCGCAAATATTTTAAAGTCATGCGATATACCGGGTGATTAATAAACAAATTTGTGGGTTGGCAATTCTGAATTATTGACATCAGTGTGAGCATGTCATTCACAATTGTCAGTTTTGACATGAGCGCGCCCAAAAAAACAATGAGAAGATGGCAGCTACTGACGCGTCAAGTATGCCATGATAAAATTTTAAATGTTGCCAATCTGACAAAAATTCACAAGTCACTCGGTACTTTGAAACTTAGTGAAATAATAAATTATATGTTATGACAATTTTTGCCATGTTAGTACCAAATTACATTATTTTTAGGCTTTATATATCGACGCTGCCATTTACATCCCTGCTGAGCTGGCCCAAATTCAAGACTTGTTGATAGAGAAGCAACTCCGTTTACACGTGACCCCTGAAGAATTGGATGTTTTACGTAGTTAAACATTGTTCTGTGATATTTAATTTTTAAATAGATATTTAAGGTTGTATGTTTTAATTCACATGTGTACCTTGTGAGTTGAATGTGAAGTCCACGAGTCAGATGAGGGAGGAGAAGGTAAGTAAAATATACTTTGCAATGGCTACTCATAGTTTATTTCACATAAATTAAACAAAAATAGGCTCATTTCGTTAAAAAATTAAATTAATTAAAGTTGTACATTGCGATAAACTGGAAGTATAATGAAAACAAATACTGAACATAAATACAATAAAACAAATTATTTGGTTTCTCCACTGGACATTAGCTTAGATACGTACATGTTAAAAATTTAAAGCTATTACTGGTGTTACTTTTATTATGTCCCTTAACTTAAAATTATTCTCACAAATTATCACCACGGGTAAAACACGTTAGCTGAAATTAAAAACCTCATCTTCTTTTAAAAAACTTGGAAGTTCTGTATGAAATCTCATAAATGCAGGCACAATTTAATCGTTATTTAAATTAAGTATGGACTGCGTGTCCAGCAAATCTCCAGTAAGTAATACATTGTTAATGGGCAACATCCCAGCAATCTGTCCATTATTTCGACTAAACGGAAAAAAACTATTCACCTTCCTCAACAATTCCAAATTCTCTTCCTTACTCCTACTCAATTTTCCGTTCACTTCCCCTGACTGAATTCTCTCACGCAACTCAAAAATTTCAGACACTATAAACCTATTACATAAATCGATCTGTGGTTTTCCTCCGTTCCGTATTTCTAAATCTGGTAACCATCGAAAGTAACACTGAGTCCACACATCCAAATGGGAAACTGCACTCTGAGGTCGCAGCGGTCCTTTAAAGCTGTCATCGTACAGGGGGTTGCAAAACAAAGCAATATCTTTCTCAGCAAACTGTTCGCTCCAGTCCCACACACTTCGTAAAATAAGAGGGCTATGACCAACGCCACCCTGAAATCATAATTGGTAACCACACCCAACTAACAGTGTTGGCAACTTACGCATTCAGCTATGATGCGGTCATGTTCGCAATTAAATAAAAAGGTTTCAAAAAGGGAAATGTGAGCAGAGTCCCAAATAGTAGTCACGTAAGTCTCACTAAACTGGAAAGCTGTTGGATACTGTTGTATCAACTGCCAGACGCAATCAAGAAACAGAAGAAATATAGGCGACTGTTCGATATCTTTGCTTAAAATATGACCCAACCGGTTTACAAATGGATGTCCAATTGCTACCCAGTCTTTTTGGATCAGTGACTGAAAACCAAATTTTGTTCGAAAGTATGGATCTAGCATTAACTGTGTTAGACTGGAAATCGCACAATTCAGGTCTTGACCGTTACCTAAAACATTTATGAAGGTTATATTAGAATTTAATTTAATGCAAAAGCACTTAAAAAAACGAAACACCACAGAAAACGATACATGAATGAATAACCTTGAAAGTCTGTTTACAATTTCATCCACTGCGGTACTCACAGTGGATTGGGCAATCAAAGAACCTATAGGGGAAACTGTAAAACTTACCTTCTTGCAAAACAACAGTCGAAGTTTCGTCATATATTTGGTTGACAGCTTCAAGTGCTTTGGATAAACAAGTCGACACGTGACTCATCCATTTGGTGGAGTCGAGTAAACCATAAAATTTGAAATCTTGACTTTTAAAAGTTCGTGTGTTTTCAGGTACGCAGAGGTCTCTCAATTTTAGGAAGCTCAATTGGATTTCTTTCGGTGATGGACATTCCTTTGTGAGATCTATAATATATGGCTGCTTTTTTTCTGGATGGCTTTTGCGAATATGTTCTAACAATATGTTTTCTTGGGTACGGTCTTGGATTGTTGGCAACAGATCAGCCATTCTGACTAGCGCGGCGCCTTGAGGAGTTCCCCAAACCTAACACGTCATTTGCATATTTATCACAATATACGAATATTCTTTAGAATAATATATTAGTAATACATGCTTTGTACTAACATACTAATTTTCGAAAAAAAAGTGGTACGATTCTATTTACATTTTTATGTAGTCGTCGATAATCCTAAATTTAACTGGCTAGATAACAAATATGTATCTACATCAAAATTGATAAAATAGCTTTGAATTACATTAATATAAAACAAACATGTATTAAATACGCATCTATTTACTTTTTTAAGATAGACGAAACACCATCAAGGTAAAAAAACCAAGGTCAACCGGCGTTTAATGAACGATAATATTTCTTATCTAATAATAAATGCACCTTATATTGTATAACCGCGATAACTCTATTTGTAAGCAGATTTAATCTTACCCATACAGGACAACACCTGTTTCGAAAATGCTCGACGGCTAACGTTAACGCACTGTCTGTAAGAGATTGAGGTACAATTAGAGTAGACATCATTGCTGGTGATGTTTGAAAATTCTCATTGACAACTGATGCTTTCCAATTTTTGCATCTAGTCCTTTCTAACTCTCTTTTCCAGTTGTCGCGTTTCCGAAAAAGACACACTTCTTTTAACAAGGATGTACAACAAGGTTCCCTAAAACAATATAAATGTACTTACTGCACTCTCATACAACATTAACATCTTTACTTATAGTCATAAGCAAACAGTAAGCTGTGCCTTTTTGGATAAGCATGATGTAACAGCGCATTTGTCACGTTTTTGCCACTATCTTTGTCAGCGTGTTTGAAACTGAACTCCAAGGATCTCATATTCTAAAAATGGTGGTTGTGAGAAAAGTAATTATAACAAGAACATGTGTCAGTACTTTACAAACAACAAGTAGTTCCTTAATTTTGCCTGAAACATTTTGGCCAGGAATTAACTTTTTCCTACTTTTATCCCCAATCTGATAAATAGTATCAATGGAAGACAAGCATGTATCATTGGGGCCTAGTAAAAAGTTTTGTTGGTAGCAATTATCACCTTCCCTATCATCAGCACTAGCAAAAGATAATTTAAAAGTAGTAACTGTTAAAATGCCTTTAGTAGCTTTTTTCCGGTCACTTAAAGGTAAAAATAACAGAACCTTTGGCGCTTCACAGACTACGGTCTCACCTTGAAATATTACAATTATTTTTGCCTTAATAAGAGGGGGCGTAACTCACCATCAAGGAGTTTTGTCCTCTGGTCATCAGTGAGAGTAATTGACTGAAAGTTTTAATTATCAATAAATATATATTAACTAAATTGCGAAACGTTACCGCAAACTCCTCCTCGTCTATGTAACTTTTAAAGCGAGATTCCCTTAGTTCAGTCATAGTTCTTCAGGGAGCAATATTTTTTAAATATAAATACCTAGTCGCATCATTGGGTATTTTAAGAACTTAGCCCATAGTAGCACAAGCTGAGATCTTGAAAAACTCAGTTTAGAATGAAAGTGACGAATAGATAAAAAATTTATACTTTTTTTGAGGTTATGTTTACCACACTTGTCGATGGATTACGTAGACACACGATGATGTAGATCGTGGCCTAAAATACCCGCGAAAGATGAAATTCAAGACATTGGATTAAAAAAAAAAGAAGAAACATTTTACTTATGTATTATCAATAAAAACATGATCAGTTTACCACAAGATCTTTTGTACAGTGGTACTGTTAAATTACGAAATGGCTGAAAATAGCTTTAACAAACATTTATAAAAGTATGGATATTTGTTGGTGCATGGGTGCTGCATGGTGATATATGTCAACTGTCACTTTGACAAATTTAAGCAGAAAGAGAAGTAGTGAGGTTATCTTGTCAAAATTGTATTTAGTTATCTTTCATTTCAAAAACCACTCGGAAAATCTTAAATTAAATACCGATTTTATAAATCTAATTATTTGTAACTTTGAGTTGAATGTGATTAAGTTGTGTTCAATCGTTATGATTTTATTTCCGAAGCAAAACATGTTGACCAAAGTACAAAATTAATGTTTTTATCAGTTTTGTAATTATATTCCAGTAACATTAATTTTAATTTTTTTACATCATATAGGAGAACAAGTATGTTTGTTTCAAGTCATAATATTACACTTTTCTTAAATAAACATAAACTGCACACAAGGTAAGTAGTATTAATTTGAGAAATACATTATTTTAATTGTCTGCTTACTTAACAGGCCTCATGCAGGACACGGTCTTTGGCTTATGTTTCTGCTGCCTGCAGCTTTAATTACTTCTGCGGCTGCACATCCAGTCATGTCCTCTTCTACATATAAACTATCTTCGATTTTTTCAGTAGGTTTACTGTTTTCATCATTAATATTTCTGTACGAAAGTTCAAAAACTGTAAGACTGAAAGTTACAAATGTTTGGTTGATACTGGCTTGTTGCATAGTGGCAGGACTGCTCCAAATATGCCTTCATAGAGGTAGGTTTTAATTGTATTGTGTCTATTAAAAAATTCAAAGAAGTGATGAGGGAGCCATGATAATTAGTTCCCAGGAATTGTGAACATAGAGCGGTATTGTTTTTCTCGTTATGTTTACTGTTATGACCTGTACTGACGCTCATTTGGGTTTCTCAGCCTAATCAGCTCTTGTTTAAATTTAACAGATTACAAATTATGTGCCCCTATATGCACATAGGTATAATAGAGGTTGAGGAAAAGTCAAGGATATTGTGAACTATAGCAACTAAATGCCATTAATTAAACGAATATCAAATAAATTTTACATAATTTTCCCTCATAGCTAATTCATAATTTTTAGGCCTACTGTTTTCATTCTGGAGTGCCATCGTATCTACTGTACTATATCATAGTCTATATTTCTCAGTTTTGAAAAATATGCCAAACTGTTTTTCATTGGGTGAGGCAGCTATTTGCTGCCAAAGTTACATTTTATTGTTGTATTTTACTGTAATAAATATTTTGAATAATATTATAAGGCCAGCAACAAGTATGATGCAAATGTCTACTTTAACAATACAGGTATTCACGAATGTACCATTTTTAACGTAAAATTTTTGTATTACTTTTGTTAAAAGGTTGGCCTCATTGGATTATCAGCAATTATTTTCATATCGTACCAATTTGGTATTAAAAATCCTCTAAAGTTTTATATTTTAACTGGGTTAATTTTTGCATTTGTTGTTGTTGTACCTCTACAAATTTTGTTGAAAACTAATCCTTTATTGTGGATTTTAACCCTGTTTTGGGAGGATCTTCAGAGAGTAAGTCATACTTGCTGAGTATTGTATGAGTATGCGCTACATGATGACAATTTTAGAATAAAGTTCTTGTGTACTGGGTACTGTTTAGTCTAGTGGCAGTCGTGTTTGTAAACCGGCGAATAAAAAGGGCCAAAAAAGCGAGCACAATTGGACGAAAAATTTTCCATTTTTTAATTATAGCAGTTTTTATACCAGGCCTTTTATACAATTGTTGTCTTTTGTACCTAGCAAGTGGTGTAATTCTGGGAATATTTTTTATGTTAGAAGTATGTATACATTAATAACGTTAGTGCATCTATACTTTGGAATTTATAGGTTCTTAGGGTATTGAACATTCCACCGTTGGCAGAGGCTCTACAAAATGGTCTTGTTGTATTTGGTGATGAAAAAGATACGGGCATTATCGCGTTTACACCTATGTATCTATTAGCCGGGTGTTCTCTACCTTTGTGGATTCATCCGGCACCTTGTGATGTGACCAATTCAGCAGTTTTTAATTTGTTACCGCTTTTGAGTGGTGTTCTGAGTATAGGAGTGGGAGATACAGCTGCCAGCATTGTAGGCTCAAAATTTGGAACCCATCATTGGAGAGGTGAAATTTGTCGTTTTAAAACTGACTACTGTTGTTAATGGGAGTTGTGTTATAGGGTCGCGGAAGACTGTAGAAGGAACTGTTGCATGCATTGGCAGCCAGTTGCTAGCCATTTTTCTATTCGTATTTTGTGGTAGAGTACTTGATCACTTTTGCTGTGTGAATTGACTTATTTATATTTTACAGATTTTATAAAATTATCCAATATGGACTACGTGAAGACTGCTTTAGCTATTATAATTGGAGCTATAACTGAGGCAAAAACTGATCAAGTTGATAACTTGGTGTTACCGTTTATTATGTACATAATTCTGATTGTGTAATGTAATAATTTATTAGTAGTTGCAAAATGGAGACTAATATGTTCCATGACTGAGTAAATATAACTTGCCAAATTTAATTCCTAATAATCCAAATGTTAATTCATTGTTTTGTTTGATATTTTGCGTGATAGGTGATATAGAGCTGTAGTAAAACAGAATAATAAAGAAAAAGTAATAAGTTGTAATTTATTGAATTACAAATTTCTAGTTGTGGTTATGCAACCCAATATACAATTGTCAATAGCATTTTACAAATTAAATGACTGGTAATTTTGCAAATATGGTACCTATTACATATAAATATAGAGTACTATGCTTTTTTTATGATTTCTATTTCTCTTGTTTAATTGAAAAAAAAAACCGTCAGTTGACCAACTGTCAAAAGTCAAAATTAGTGTCAATTACGTCATCGAAAGTGCTGGAAGCATTCTGGCATTTAAAAAAATGTAATTAAATAAATGAATTAAAAATTAATGTTGGCGGGTAGACTATAATTCAAACTAAAGCAGAAAACGCCAATTCAAGGACTATAAACATTCAAAGTTTTTGCTATAACCAAAGTTTGCATAATTTCGATGACCGGTTCATACACACAAGATTTCGTTAGATAGATACGTAGTTTTCCGATATAGTGCCACAGTATTGTGAGCTGTGAGTATTAAAAGACTGCTCACACGTTGAGTTCGTTAGTTTAGTATTAATCTGAGAAGAGTAGCGAGCATTTAATTTGTAACAAAATGCTGCGAGTAGCAAGAAGTGCCTTCTCAAAAATTCAGAAATGTTCATATTCGTCCCTTCCTGCACCCCAGGAGAATCCAAATGTGTTATATTCGGGGGTAAGTTTTTTTGCCATTTACTAAAAAAATTGCGTTGTGGAAAATTACGTGCGGTATGCATCAGGTATGTTTATCAGCACGCGATTTAAATAATAATCACTCTTGGTTTCCTGGTGATAATTACAGAAAAATATTAAGTATCAGGATAATGTCCAAAATTCCATGTAGATATAATAGAAAGAAACAAGTTTGGTATATGGATGTTTGCATTAAGGTACCTATTTATAAACTGTGCAAGGACAAGGTCGAAACAATAACGAGATTACTAAAAAGAGGACCACAAGAGATTAGTTTTTATGTACATTGTTCAACAAAAATATCTATAAAACTCTTTTTACATGTATAAACTAACTGAAGACAGAAAGACATCCACCTTTCAGACATGTCATTAACGCACAAAAGTTTAGTTATAACACGGGTTTAGACTTAGAAAATGGAAGCAACAATGGAGTAAAGTCAAATGGTTTAAGTTGCATTTATTTGTTGTATAGATTTATTGTATTTTTAATTTGTACATCAATTTTCCAACGTATTATTCTGTCCTTCAAATTTGCATTTTTAGGTTTCATAAATATATATATATGACGTATATGCCGTAGTTTACAACTCATTAAGATTCTTACCGTCTAAAAAGAAGATAAATATTACTATATAATATTATGTTATCAGTTATCACCAAATAAACATAATTAAGTAACGCAACTAATTAAAAAAGTAATGGCACTTTTATAATAATCACTTGACTAGTTTAAAAATAACGTTCGTGTTTTCTAGATTAGTAAAACTATTTGTTATATTTAATGATTGGCGTTGAACTTGTAACTTATTTGGTGGAGTAAAGACGGGTATAGTCATAAAAATAAAATTTGGAATTGGTCAAAAATATAATTTTAAACAGATTAGGTTTTCTGAAGTGGCTAACATTAAAATTACGCTACAGTTTTTGCACAGATGTTTCCACATTTTGGAAATAATTTCTGTATGCAGTTTCACCTTCTTACTGAAGTCTGTGACCACTGTTTGCCGTAGTCAATGGCCAGTGGATGGAGTCTTTTATTTTGGCAAATTTAAATCAGCTACTTCAGAGCAGTAGGTAATACTATCGGAATACTCGTCCCTGACATCTACCACCCTGATAATGACGTCGGCTTCCTTTCTTTCGTCGTTAAAGATTTCTTATCTAGCGTTTTGGAATGACTAATTTATTCTTTAATTAACGGTCTCGAATTTTTGATTTATTTTTCAAATATGTGACAAGTTTTTCGTGCGATCGGGCGTTAAGTAACCCTAGGGTAGTAAAAATCTAGTAAACTATAGCCCGACAATAATTACGGACAACATTCACATGAAGTCTTTATCAAACAAACATAATGATTGATTATTAATATTAATATTTACTTTACAATTAAATATAAGCCCAGTCTTTTACTCCTTGTTTACAAATTCCATACCCTCGACTTTGTAAACATAATTGATCAGTTTTCACCCTAGATGCCTAATATACTGTAAAGTATTTTTTAATACTGCTGTGTATACAGGGGCGGATGGGACCATCTGGAAATCGGGAATCCAAATCTTATATAAACTTATATGAATTTCGTTTTTTTTCGATAATTTTGATATTAAAAGTTAACATCAAAATTTATCTGACAGTGGCAAGGATATTACAAAATACTATTGTATAATACACTCTCGTTAGAGCCTTTACAAACCTTGTCAGATTTATCCGACTCGGCCTACCGCCTCTTCTTACAAACTTTCTGACACGGACCTGAAGGATACTTTAAAAAATACCGAGAGAGCAACTCAAAACTTTCAAATTAATGGTAATCTGACAAGATGAAAATTCTATCAAATCCATCTTCAAAAATGCATGGCTGTTTTTGTTCCTGTTTTTTTATTGCTCTTCCGGTACTGTATTTCAATAGAAACTCGTAGCCTAAAGTTACTTAAGAAGATGTGTGAGGTTGGGAAATTTGACATTCGTGTGTTAACATAAACTATAGGTATAGTATGTATACCTAAGCAGATGACTGTAAAAACTATTTGTTATTATGATATTAAATACTAATACTAAGCTGCATGTAATGAATAAATGTAGTTAATATAATTTTCCACAAACCCGGTTAACAATTATTGTAAATTTGCATTTTTTGCTAATTTATTTACGGTAGATTTATTATGATTCTATACTGTCGATATCTGTTTTATGATTAATTTTCAAATTGCTCAGTTTTCTGACCACTTTGCAAAAATTTGACAAGCAGTAATTATTCAGACGCTTAATCCCTAAACAGTATATCTTCTAGAGGAAAAAATGAATGTTCATGTTGGCATTATTTTCACAACTAGATACATAAAATGTAACCGTAATTAATCAGAAAGCCACAGTGGAACTTCCGTTTGGTTGATGTACTATGGACAAATCCCTGCATATCTAAGGAAGTATGAAAATATTCAAGAGTTTAAATGACTTCGCAAAATATTCGATTGCACTTACTTATTCCTTTGACAATTTGACCGTCGCGGCGGAGAATAATAATAATGTTAAAGTTTGTGTTGTAGTGATAAAGTTATCATTTTATGTATGTTTGTAGATAAGTATTTACGTTTTTCATGTTATTTTATTATCAATTAAAGTACATTGGCAGTCTTACACAATGATTGGAACAATTATGCAGTAACAATAGTAATTCATTACAATTACAAATTACTTTTTTTTTTAAGGAATTCATAACAATTACTCGTTACTTTCAAAATTACTTTTTGCACTTTGAAAAATTTGATCAAGTCACAATTGGGTCTAAAGGGTTAAGAAAAAACGCGTTAGAATGATAAAGGCAGTGAGTGATTTATTTTACTAACGCATTTGTTACATATTCACATCGGTAAATAAAATAAAATAAATAAATACTTCACGCAAGAGGACTATATTCATAATTTAAATTCAATAATAACTGACATTCAAAATTTTCATCAGCTAAGGTATGACTTTTGTCTTAAAAACATCCGTGCCAACACTAAACATCTTCCACTGCGGCGCTAAATGGAATTGTTGTGGGGCAACATGTTACATATTTTACCAAAAATTGAAGAGCCGATTCTTTTGCGCCTAATTTCATTCCACTCTAGCTACAAATAAAAGTTCGATGCCAACTGCAACAACTTTTAAACAAAAATTTGCATTGGTTGGAGAGACAGTCCACCGATAATTACCTGCGGACGCAAATCTTTTAATCTTTAATAAAAAGGAGCTCCTAAATACTTAAAGGGGGCTACAAGATAATGTAACCTGTTACCTGTCATAGATTTGAGTGGACCAGAAAAATGGCTAAAGTTTGTTTGACCACAAATTTTAAATATTCTGCGCCTGTTTACTCAATTATTTATGAAGATATTTTATTTCTGTAGAGCGCAATGGATTTTTTAATACAATTTCTACTAATGTAGTTTTTTGAAAATTTTAAATTAATTAAATTAAAAAAGTATTTCGTTACAATTACCTATTATTTGAAAGGGAATTGTATTACAGTAATGAATTACTCGTAATTGAATTACTTCCAACCACTGGTCTACAGTATGTTGACATTAATCTTTTTTCCTTCGATTATTTGTTATGTCGCTCTAAAAAAAAGTGTACTTCCATGATAACAAAATTGGGTTAGTAATAATAACTGTATTAACTAACAATAAATGCAATACACCGAGAGAACAAAAAAAAACGTTAAAGGTAGCCATGGATTTTCGAAGATTTGTCTTGTTAGATTACCGTCAATTTGAAAATGAGTTGAAAGTGCTTTTGGTTGAACAAAATAGTTATTTGAGACACGAGGCCCGAAAATGCATATCTACGATTATGAATGATGTTACGAAGGCGAGACGCTAACTCAAGGCGGAGGAAGCGGAGCAACACGAGTACTGGCAAAAACATGTTATGGACGTGTCTCATAAGATCTTATAAGCCGACATGTTTTCTTTAAATTTGTTTAAAATATAAGACTAGACTTGTCTGGAGCACCCATTCGCAACTTCCGCTTCCAGGCTCTTCTCCGGTCGCCGTCACCGACAATGAGTCATCATCGCCGTACATACTAGAACGCATACGCGTCGTACCGGGGCGACATAAGGGTTTATTTCATAACAGTATTGTGTAAAAAATATTTGAAGTCAAAAACTTTTTCTTGTATAAACGCAGGGTGTCTAAATTTTTAAAACCATAGTCACTACAATAAAATTACGGGAAAATAAAATAACAATAATAAGAAATATATGCTGATGCTGTTGGGGATAGCGCCTCCCTGCCTCTCCGAAGAGTTTAAATCTGCATTAAGAATACAGCAGAAATTTTGTTCTGTGGGATTGTTTTTGTAGATATGTCGAATTTATACCGTCGATCTGTTACTTTGCAATGTAATAATGTAATAAGCCAGTGAACCTGGATTATCGACCGATAAAAGTAGTGCATAGTTACGAAATAAGTAAGCAAAAATTATACTTGTCGGTTCAGCGACAGGGAATGATGAAAATGTATTTCTTTAAAGTATGCAGGAATTAATTGTAATACAATGGAAAACTTTAAAGTTGTAAGTAGTGATGTTTCAACCTCTGATGCGAGTGGTAATAAACTTGATTAGTATAACACATTAAGTTTTTTTTCATCATCCTCGAATACCGGAGTCGATGAGAAAGGAGAACATTTCACTTTACCTAGGTTTTGTTTCATTAACAAATGCTTAACAATGACTACTGTAAGACGCGGTGCTAACAGATGTGACATGATTAATTGATGGAAAATGAAGAAAAATAGTTTTTATAATTCCATTGTATAATACTGATTCTTTGGTCGTCAATTTCAGTGTCATATTGAAGTTGTTTTCGCACTCAGTGCGAAAAAGTGACATTTATAACAGTTTTAATTGTAGAGAACGGCTCATTTAATGTATATATTATAAAACGGAATTATAAAAAATCTTGCAGTACGAAATCGTGTTTTTCGCACACGACGTCACGTGTAATGCAAAAATCACTCTCATTTCTCAACGTAATACATAAGTAGCTGTCTGTCTTTTTGTATTGTATTTACTCACAAACATGTTAGATCTACATACAGAGTATTTTATTTCAACCAATCAATCAACATTACTTCAAAACTACTATCTGTATAGAAAGAAAATTTAGCTACAAAATGATGTCTATACTCCTCCAGGCAAGTTTTTAAAACAATTATTGTTTCAGTCCTTGTTTGAAAACAACTTTAAATTGAAATCGAAAATTTGTGTTATGTAATTTGTGGTAATTTCGCGTTCATGCATTATAGGAAAATCAAAGTTGTTTTCACTTAACGGTAAAACCAGAAATACGTCGATCAATTTTAAATAATGGTTATATTTATTTTTTACATAGGTAGGAGTTGTGAAGCAAGTTTAGTCGGTCACTTATCTTGTAAAACAGGCCAAGGCCAATTTTAACTGATGATTAGTAGTTACTTAAGTAAACGACTTTCGGTAAATATTCATGGATTTTTAATAAAAAAAAAAAAAAATGAAAAATGAGTCTTTATTGAAATAATCGTGCTTCGCTTAATAAACTGATTTCATGAATTCATGACTTAACAAAAAACTATGTGCATTATATTTGATAAAACCAGTAATATTGAACTGTTGTTCTATTATTAGATATTTATTAACAACGAATGGCACAAAGCTAAATCCGGTAAAACCTTCCCAACTGTCAACCCTACTACAGGTGAAGTCATAACTGAAGTCCAACAAGGTTCCAAAGAAGACATCGACTTGGCAGTAGACGCCGCTTACGAAGCCTTCCGCTTTAATTCTCCATGGCGAACAATAGACGCCTCCGAAAGAGGAGTCCTCCTCAACAAAGTAGCCAATTTGATGGAACGCGATGCCGCTTACCTTGCGGTATGTACCATACCAAAGCAGGTTTCTTGCTTCCAGAAAGCATAAAACCTTGATAACCATTATAGTAAAACCGCGTCTTTCATCACTAATTAACACTGTTTAAACAGAGTCTCGAAACTCTCGACAACGGCAAGCCTTACCATGTAGCCTACCCTGTCGACATCTTGAGTAGCATTAAAGTCTTTCGATACATGGCCGGTTGGGCTGACAAAAATCATGGAAGAACCATTCCAATGGATGGTCCCTTCGTTTGCCACACCCGCCATGAACCTGTAGGAGTATGCGGACAAATCATCCCCTGGAACTTCCCGCTTTTGATGTTGGCTTGGAAAATAGCCCCAGCTCTTAGTATGGGCAACACTGTGGTACTTAAACCCGCCGAACAAACCCCTCTAACCGCCTTGTACATGGCGCAACTGATAAAAGAGGCGGGGATTCCCCCAGGTGTTGTCAATATAGTTCCCGGTTTTGGAGATGCAGGCGCTGCGCTGGTCGCCAACCGTAAAGTTGATAAAATAGCGTTTACAGGATCGACCGAAGTGGGGCTAAAAATTCAACAAATGTCAGGAGTGGGAAATTTGAAGCGTACGACCCTTGAATTGGGAGGCAAAAGCCCAAATATAATTCTAGGTGATGTGAATATTGCAGAGGCCGTGGAACAAGCCCACTTTGGGGTGTTCTTCAATCAAGGCCAAGTGTGTTGTGCGGGCTCTAGAATCTACGTTGAAGATAATATTTATAATGAGTTTGTGGAAAGGTCCGTAGAAAGAGCAAAGAAACGCACGGTTGGCAATCCCTTTGATGCGAAAACCGAGCAAGGACCACAGATTGACAATGTCCAGATGGAGAAGATTCTAGGGCTTGTGAAAGAGGGTGTTAACCAAGGGGCGAAGTTATTGGTAGGGGGGAAGCGTGTGGGAGACAAGGGCTACTTTGTGGAACCCACTGTATTTTCGAATGTTGACGACAACAACGTGATTGCTAAGGAGGAGGTAAGTTTTGATTTTTTCAGAGACGGTTGTATATATTATATTGTTTATTAGATATTCGGTCCCGTGCAACAACTGATGCGCTTCAAGGATTTGGATGAAATCATCGAGCGTGCTAATAACACAAATTACGGATTAGCGGCTGCCGTTTTCTCGAAAGATATAGACAAAGTCAATTATTTAGTTCAGGGGATTAGGGCTGGCACTGTTTGGGTGAACACTTACAATGTATTGGGTACCCAGACACCATTTGGAGGTTATAAGGATTCTGGACATGGAAGAGAAATGGGAATTTATGGTTTGAATCAATACACTGAAGTGAAAAGCATTATTACTGCAGTCCCAAAGAAGAACTCTTAAAGTAGTATCGTGATAACCTTCATTGCCATTTAATTTTATCGTTTATCTACATGTTTCATTTTTTCATCGTAGGTTTTAAGGTCAAGCTATTATAACCGTTTTGTGTTGCCATGTGCATGTATCATTCATATATTGTTACTATTTTTGTAATTTCAATAAACGCATATTTTGTGATATTACTGTTTATAGCAGGCAGGTGGTCTAGGTTAATTAAAAGGCGCGACTGATAAATGCAGTTACAAAGTAGGGAGCAAACAAATTATGCTGAGTTTTGTTAAACTCAGTGAATCGTGAAGATAAGAAAAAAACGTTCGTGATCGAGTTTATGGCAAACTGTAAAGTCATTGTGTTTATATGCTTGCTTTATCAGTTAGGTACTGATTAAAAATTTTTATCGTCTAAAAATATGTAACAGTTATCGTGGAAGTTTCTCAACATGGTCAACAACAGTAGTTTAAAAAATATTATTTACATTTTTTCCTATCACCAGTTAATATTTTGATGTGTAGCAAAACAATCAATAATTTTTATTTGTTTTTAATTACATAAGAAATACAAAAAACAAATTAACATGTTGCAGTATATACAAAAACATTAATCAATTATTTTCTAATATACTGAGTAATTTTATGGAATTGTTCTACAATTGCTGGCATAACAGCAGTTACAGAAGAATCAATTAAATTTTGAATGTAATGCACAGCCTCTTCTTCTCCTAAATCCAGACGGAACTTTTCTTGAACCTTTTTGACAGCTTTGTCTGGTTCTAAGGCAATATCTGGTACACTTGCGTCGATCATCAGTGAAAAAAGATTTAGCATCAAGTTCGCATGCCTAAAAATCATAAAACATCAAAACAACGTTAAAAAAGTATATAATTTAAAAACTGCACTACAACAACGGAAAAAATTATATTACTATTTTTAGAACCATACATACCTGCGCAGGTGCAAAAAAGCGGTATAACATTGTTTCCTAAACTCTTGGTAATGCTCCGAATTGACTCCTCCCATCGCTTCCACCATCTCTTTACTTAGTTTCATAGGAGGGGGTAAAGGCTTTGGGTCTCTACCCAAAATGTATCCAAAGTCAATATGGAACAACTTTCCGCATGTTGTCAACAATAAATTATCCAAATGACGATCGCCTACTCCAAGAAGGTAAGTAATAACACAGTAACCAGCACAAGATCGTACATAACTGTCCATAATATCAGGCGCTATTCCATATGGACCATTTTCTTGTGGATGGTACTTCCTAAAATAATTATGAATACTCCCTACAAATCACAATGTAAATACACACATAAAAAAATTACAACTTTAGTTTACCTTCTGCAGCAACCGCTTCTGCCACACTCACAGAATCAATAAATTGAACAAATCCGTGTTTTGTGCTTGTTGCTAAAACTTTGTAAGGAGTTAACTTAAGATCTAAGTTTTCTTTGCGCAGCAACTTATCCATGAGAGTGATCATTTGTAAGATAAGCTGATCTTGTCTTAGATCGTCGCCATGTTTGAAAATGGCGACATATTCAGTATTATCGGCCGTTACAAAGTATAGCTTGGAGGGCATCAGTGCCGATTTAAACAAACTCGCTTTTTGGGCAATAATTCCTTTAATAGTAATTTCCGGATCCAAAGGAAATGGAATCGGTTCGAAATTACTAAAATTGAATTTGAAAGCGGTAGGGTCCGAAAGCAGTTGTTGAAGTTTTTCAGCTTTCTTTTTTCGATTCCCACCTTCCCGAATTACCGTTTTTACTAGTTTTACCAAGTTATCAATGAATTTTTGCTGCAAAGACAAAGTCAGTCGTTTCTTCTGCATTTCGGAGTTACCTTTGGCTAACGTTTGCGAAAACGTTTTCATTACTGTCAGGTATAGTTCTCTTATTACAATCTAAAAATAAAAGTCAGTATGTGTGATGTGAAACATAACGAAATTTACATTTTGTTTCATGGTTGGTTCCGGATCCTCACACTCTATTAACAAATACCAGTAGAAATAATTAGCTAACTTGGCATTTTTACACGCTCTTTGAATGAGAAAAGTGGCTAAATCCTGAATATCTTCTTCCTCGTTCATGTGATCTTGCAAAGTGTCGGTGTTTGCCGAATCGGTGTAAATATTTACATTAGGCATAATGTTTTCAGGTAAACTAGCTGCCCTATGATCTGGGTCAACTTCAATAACACTATTTACATTAGAAGAAGCGATTTGGTCGGCTTGATTGTAACTTGACGACCTATGCATCACCGATTCATTCGTTATCGTGCTATTACTCTCCTTACTATCTTTTTTCTCAAGTTGTGCTTCTTTTTCTTCGTGCATTAAGATAGTTTCCCTTCCTGGCGATATCCTGGCGTACGCTAAACAAACATCATTATAAATTCAACCACACTTCCTACTCATCAGTACCTTCTTGTATGTCCTTGAAATTCTCATACTTAAGCGCCTGCACTAACTGGAGAAGATACAACAAGATGTCGTCATCAGGAGCTTGCTGCAATCGCGAAATTGCATATTTTCTCACGGCCGGATGCGTAAAATTTGGTGACAGAAGTTCAAGAGCATCTTCTACATCCATAGGTACCCATATTCGCATCATTGATGTCGCTTGTCGTACTTCGTTCTGTTGTGTCCAGTTCACACATTTCAAGAACTTTGTTAGAGCTTTCTTTTGAGTACTGAGGTAAAATCTGAACTTCCATACGTGATCTTGTTCTTCGTTTGTTAGAGGTTTAGTGGAAGGATAAGAAACTATGGTATTCAAGATGTCTCTAATGGCGGCGTTTGGCTTAGCGTCTTTATCACAGTGGCCACTACGCAACGAACGGGCGAGTTTATGGTGTTTTCGTTCCACTAGATTTTCCTGGTTGCAAAGAGAAAAGTACGCACATGAACAACACATAATAACAATGGAAAGTTAAGTGAATCCATACAACCAAGGTTTCAAAATCAGTTTCTTCTTTATTAAATTATGTGAGCGCTATTGTCTCGCGCTTTGTTTAAATTTATCAGTACAAAATTTTTGGTAAAGAAATCATACTGTATAACTATAGAATACGCTCCCTGTGTATAACTGTGTATGTACAGTATAATGGGTTGCATAATCTAATGCATGTATAGAGGAAGCAATTTATGTTATATTCATTCGTCCATAATGCACATATTGCAAAAATTTGAAAGCGCATAACACGATTTTTCACATCCACGGAAGTAAAATTCAAACAATTTAACAACCTTTTGCTTTAACATACCTTTAGCATTTCTTGATCTGGAACTGTAACAATGTCAGTTTGAGCTCTAAAGGAATGTATGTCTTCACCATTTTGCTCAAAATACACGACATAATGAGGGATTGTATCTACAATTACTATAGGGAATTCAATCATAAGATACATGTACTCTGAGCAACTCTTTTCCTCATTGTTGATTAAACCTAGTTCTCTAAAAGTCAACCTATCCAACCAATCAACCTGTAATTTTTAAAATACTACAAACTAAACCTAGATTAATCTTTATATACCTTTGGCATGTGACCATTTCTGTGTTTTTTAGTTAATTTCGTCAGTCTCTGCATTTGTTCTTTTCCTATATCTTTGGCTTTACCTGGTGTTGTGGTTGGGTAATTTCCATCTGCTTCTCTATTGGGAAAAACTCTCAAATCTACCATGCCCTACAAACATTTAATCAGAATTTGATTGGACTGCAACTTTTTCTATCAACCTGTCTAAACAGCCCATGTTTGCTAAATAACGAAATGGTTGTGCCTCCTATCGGCCACAACTTTTGCGGTCCAATGCAGTCATAGATTGTAAGGCCTAATTGAGCAGTTCTGGGAAGGTCATTGAATTGAACTGGTAATGTAAGCCACTCATTCCAGCTAAAACGTGACATATTACAATACTGTTAAACCAAGCGTTAATGGCTTACCTCCAGCGAGACGTAAATGCTTTATAGGAAGTTGACACAGGAAGAGCGAGGGGCTGATTTTGATCAAAAATTTGGCACACTACCATTAGATCCGAACAACCATCTTCACACAAACCCGAATACTTTAAAATCGGATCTGATAACAGTTTATCATACTCTGGTTTTTGGCGTTTCCCTTCTAAAGTCCCTCTATGAAAATGGTCAGTAAAACATTAAAAACGTGACGCTGTAGTTCAGATACTTACATTTTTATTTGAATTCTGTTTGATATAGCTGAACTGTAAACATAATAAAATTTATCGTTTAATTCCTCCATGTTTGTATTATCGTTGCCACATTTATTACACACAATAAAAGATCAGTGTTAGGTATTTATGCTTTAAAAGTTTGCGGTTTATTTAAAATTGTTATGTTATGGCTAATTCGTCACTCTTATCATTGCTTATTTGTCAAAATCAGCTGCGTATATGACATTATTGACATTTGTAATATGACATAGAAATATCCCCACCGGGAAGAATTCTCTATGGGATTGGGATTTGACAAAAAACAATGTTGATACTACCATCCTAACAAAAATAAAATCCCTTTACTTTTAAACTGGTTGGGCGCGAACTGATAAAAAATTCGATGAATGTTATAATAGTAACTCATTTCTCATCAAAAGTTTACCAGAATTTATGCACGAATGCTCAAATATTTTCATTTCAAATTGTTATAAAAGAAAAGGCCACTAACACTATCTCTCTGATTCAATTTTCTATGAACCAGAAACTCAACACCACAGCTCAACACATCATGGGTTCAACAGAAATAAAACAAAATAACGTCTTGAAATAAATATACTCTAGTAACATAACATAAATAATATAGGCTGCCCTATATACATATATACAATTTTACAATGGCGAAAAAAAAATTTTATACACGTTATTTTCAATGTTTTAGTAATATGGTCTCCTAGGATTATTCTAAAAAATAGAAACATTAAATCGTTCATTGCATTATTAACATTTACGTACCAAAGGATTTGGTCTAAACCTATACGCTAACATCATTCGCTTTCTATACGCTTCATATTCGTCTTCTTTGTCTTCATCTGTCTCACCTAAACCTAAACCTTGATTCTGTTCCCGCGCAGCCGCTCTAAAAATCAAATCTAAAAATTACATTTTAACATTAGTTTTAAACCAACTTATTGATAGGTTCAACAATGCCAGCTCCGTTGGAACCAAGCCCTTGTCCTTGTGACCATCCGAGTTTTTGCAACATTTTAAACCCGATATTGTCCTCCTTAATTTTAAAATCTTTATAATCAGAATTATTCGGTAATCGCTCTTTAGTGAGATTCGATTTTTCTAAAAATCGTTTTAGTTCTTCTGGCGGTAAAAAATCGCCAATGTGGTGTTTTCCTTCGGCTTGTCGGGTTAATTCCTGAGCCCAGAGTTGAGTCGCCATCATTTCCTATAAATATTTTAATTGAATATGCAACTCAAAAGTGTTACAAGAAGAATGAAAAATGTAACAAAGTGTGCAGATTACAACGAAATTTCATAAATAAAAGGTGTAATTATTAGTAGTGGCCGAAAAATTAATATCATAATTATTTTGACAGATAACATATTGACCATATTGTAATCATTTGTAACCATAACCTGACAACCATATTAATCTTCAAAAATGTCTACCATTTTCAGAAGTGGCAAATGTATAACATTTTTAAATTTCATAGGTCTGTAGAAGTACATAATATTTGTCAAAATTTGTATACAAATCACAGAAAAAAAGCAATTTCCTCAGCGGGAATGGAATATAAACTGGAAAATATAGAAAAATTAAAAGCGGTTCATTAGCCAGATATTAACAATTTATCTTAACAGCAGTGATGAATAAAAGTAGTTTATTCAGAAACCTGAAACAACATTACAACAAATAAAAAAAAGATAAAGAAAGATGAACTACTACAAGTGCTAAAATAATCCAAAAAAAAGGAAATATTTTCTAAATGAATGACTTATCGCAGCAATATAAATTAAAGCACCACATCCACAAACAACAGCAATGTTGTTTTCCAATAATTCTCGCTAATATAAAATGAGCTGGTTGGATGCTGAGTGTTCTCTAGGAAGAGATTCAACACTGAACCATGTAACATGCTGGCATTATTAAAAATACTGAAAGAAAATGACTGAAAAAAATAAACGAAAAAAGGGTGAAAGGCAGAATTCTGTACTTTACAGAAGCCCCAACTTCCTTCACAGACGATACTGCTATAGAGCGTTACAAGCCTGGAGATAATAAGACAAATTAAAAACATACACAATAGTCTTTACCAGAACTCACAAAAAATTGTCTAAAGGGATGAAATAACTGATGAACCAAAAAATAAATACGTAAACAAAACAAATAAATCATTTAGATGGAAGACAGAATTCTAACATGCCACGTGTTATCAAATTCTTACTTTATCTCTCAACTTGTGTTCCCACGTCCCGCCGTCCACGTCTTCGTCGGAATCGTAATCATATTTATTTTTTCCCGCAAGCTGCAACTTTTCCAACTCTTCACGTTTTTTCATCATATCTTGATAGAGTATGTTAATTTTGTAATTGTCTTCAGCCTTTTTCCATTCTTCTTCAGACAAATTTGTGGACCCATATGTATTTACAGTATACTGAATTAAACCAGGATCACTTCTGGTAATTTTTGACAGCATCACGTTACCTAAACAAGTAAGAGTGTACATTTCCAGTAATCTTACTTATTTGGAACCACTGACTGCGAAATATTTGAGAAAACACAGCAACAATTCACCAGTACTTATTTTCGTTTTTTGTACACATAAAAACTTAAAAATTTTGATTTAGTAACTTACCTTAGAATACACAAAATAAATAAAAACTTGAATATGGATAACTACAATAACAAAAGATCACTAATTTTTGTCTTTAAATAACTACTAATTTCATAATATGCAACTTTATTAAATTAGTTATTATATCACAAGTAATTGTTTGCTTGCAAAGAAATATCTTTAAAAAAACCTTGGATATAAAAGTTATCTTGTTGCAGTGGCAAAGAGATGTTAACAATCGGGGGTGCATTAGGTACTTTTATTTGCTATTAGATTTAGAATGTTCATCAAAAGCAAATATCATCCTTATAACGATAAAAATGGGTACCCAATTTTGGAATTAAATCTACTGATACCATGTCAATGTACAACTGGATTCCTCAGTGAACAACGCCTCGATTACATCAGTGGATAAGAAACACAATTTCAACATCTGGAAGAGAACAACATCTACAAAAATGTCCACACTATTCTATACAGGCTATATTACATCAATCACAAAATTTCATATTTTGTAAATTTTTAATTTTACTATCCCGTATTTCGAAATTTTGGAAGTTATAAATAATACAACAAAAATTCGAGAATTTCCTATAGTGTCTTGCAAAAGTTATGTGAACTGTTTTCTCGTAAATAAGTCGCAGTCACTCTAGAGATAGAAATGAAACTAACCGCTCTGAGCTTGTGGTCCCCCTGGTCGTGGTAAGGCTCCTGGTGTAGGATTTAAAACGATTGGTGGCGGTATGGAAGTATCTTTATCACCCCACCTACTTTTTCGTTTTCTTTTATTTGTACCCTCGCTTTCATTTTCCCTCTACAAAAATTATTATTAATGAAAAACGACGAAACAACAAAGACGGCTATATTACGGAGTCAGTCTTTTTCTCTAGTTTCATACTAATGGTGTCATTTTCGTCTTCAATAGCCATTTCAGGTTCGTAAATATCTTCAGGCTTGTAATGCGTATCTTTCGCTTCGTTTGCTTCATTCTTAGCGTTAATTTCTCTTTTGAACTGTTCGACCAACTGTTGGTACTGCTGATAGGCGGCGGATTCTTTGTGAAATAGGAACCTATAAACATTTAAAAAGCGTAACATATTAATCGGTGGCGCCACGCATTCGACGCAGGCTTAATAAGACCAAGTCCTTTCTGACTAAAACGCTTTGCTTTCGTCAATCGTCTCTACTACGAACAAAAACTAAAAGAAAACTAACGCTAATGACAAAAGCGTGCGGTATTATGATAATGGACTTAATCTGGTAGCGTGGTGTCCCTGCATACCACAGATTGGGGTCTTGCGTTTTGCGTTGTCTCACGACGTCCTCTATGCCTGGTCCGCATTGGGCCACCATGCGTCCGAGAGACGCCATTGCTTCATAATCGGGAGTACCTGGGGGAAATACTTCACAACACATCACTAAAAGCCCCGTGCTGGAGCAGGGATGACTCGCGTGCGTGCGATTTTCTCTAAATGATGATTTGAGTGAAAGGATCGAGTCATCCCTACAGCTAGGAAAAATACACATTCAGTACTGCACTCCGGATTATATGCACCTAAGAAATCGTCCTGAAATTTACTTACATCTATCGTAAAATTACGGGGTATTCGTATGTATGTTAGTGTAACAATGACTTATGAGTACTTAAAACTAGTCAGATCTTTTGAGATGATCGAGTTTTTAGAGTCTGTTTTTAGGGCAAGGATGATCAAGAAAATATTATCATGGAGGGAAAAATAATCTATAAAAATAATTTTAACACAAGAAAAAAACTGGTCGAAGTGTATTTCGACAGAACTTCCCTCGCTCCTCAACTTGTTGATGGGGATGATTAACCAAATTTTGATTGGCGTTTAACCATCTATATTATATTCCTAGTATCAAGATTTGACAATAATCACTAATAAAAAGCGCTTACGCTCAGGAAGTAAAAAAATGCTACAATACATTAAAGTGCCACGGTTAAATTCTTAAATTTACATTCACATAAACTCTATGTATATGAAAGATTAAAGTTTACAAGAAACAATTTACAGAGATTTTTTCGTTGCACATTTTTCTGAGTAGGTATTGTATTTGTAGTATCAGTTTACAAAGGGACTCATTATTTAGGCATTATTATAGCATCTTATTCCTGTGTAAGTTTACTGCTCTGTTAAATTTTAAACTTTCAAATTGTTTAATATATTGTACAGCACAGTCTTCTGAATGAAATTTCTTTTTACATAAGACCAAATAAAAGTAGAAGCGAGTATATGGAGGAACATAATGGAAGGACGATGGAAATAGAACATGGATGATACAAAGAAATAATTTAAAAATGGGCGAATGAGAAAGAGTAAGGACAACAAACCCAAAAACACACTAATAAAAAATGTAGTTCACTGAAACATGACTCGAATTTTATGTTTCAATTTGCATAATATTACAGTATTAAAAAATGCACGCTATTTGATTGCATTCTCTAACCAATTCAAAAAGTCAAAACTTTTAAAACCTTGCCCACCTTGTATGTAAGCAATCTTTCAAACTTTCAAGTTACCCTAAAACATCATCCACTAATAAACGCCATTTACCTGCATTCATGTCCCTGAATGGGGGTCCAGTGATGGGGGCGGGGTTCATAATTGCCATTGTCGTAGGAGGAGGGGGCACATTCATCGGCGGCATCTGATTGGTGATAGGCGGCGGCTGATTTACAAAACTCGGCGGAGGTGGAGCTTGAAGCGTTGGCAACATAGGAGGAGGGCAATTAACATTAACAGTGGCCACGCCCATTCCTGGAGGTGGTAGAATAGGCTGAGCCATCAAAGACGGAATCGTATTGGTAACAGTAACAGGGCTCGACGGTACAACGCCTACTGGAAGAGCAACCGAAATCGAAGAAACCGATGCGAAATTGTTCTGGTTTTGAATGTTTGGAGGCGGTACTCCCGTGGTGATGTTTTGAATTGCCTGGTTGTTGGAGATGTTTTGGATGGTTTGTATTTGTGGAGGGGGAGGGATTGTGTGGACTAGGATGTTCTGGCATGGAGTGATGCTTTGTACCGTCAGGTTTTGGGGTAGCGTGGGGGTTGCAATTGACTGAGGAGGAGGGATACTAACTGGGATTATATTAGGTGGTGGAAGGCAAGTGGATTGTACAGGAGTGTTGGGAGGAGGGATGTTCACATTAGGTTCTGGTAACGTCGGCGGGGGAATTGATTTATTTGGAGGTGGAATATTTTTGATAAAGTCCGGATCCGAAATTGATTTATCTTCGTTGGGAGTTGGTATTGCTAATAAGTCAAGCGGTTTCGGGTTCGGGATCTCATTTAACTGGATCGAAGTAGGTGTTGGGATATTCTGAACTTGAATTGGTGCGGGGTGCGGGATGTTCAATGTATTTATAGGTTCCGGTTGGGGGATATTCTGCACTTGAATGGGATTTGGCGGTGGGATGGATGCTAATTCTACAGCTGGTACACATGGGGGTGGCACGGGTATGGCGTTTGCTGTCGATACAGTAACAGGCTGAGTTGAAATAATTGAAGGTGGAGGCAAAGTTACTGTTGTCAAAACCCCAGAAGCTGGAATTGTGACACTAACAGTTGGTGTTGACACAAGAACATTTCCTGCTGAACTTGGCAACAAAAGAGTATTGTTAACTTGACTGGGGACAATTTGGGGTGGTGGCACATTTAGAAGCAAAGGAGGCGCTGCAATCACAGGTGCGCTGGTTTGCTGATTGGGTGTTGGGAAAACAACCCCAGGCGGTGGCAAAATATTTTTCAACAACGGTTGTCCTGTGACATTTTGGGGACTGATCGAAATTTGTGGATTATCAAAATTGTGCTGTGACACTGGATTATTGAACGACGTGTTTATTGTAATCTTTGGTTCAAAATTGTTGGGTTTTTCAGAAAAGCGAGAGATTCGAGATTTCAGGTTTCGATCTTTAGGTGATGGTGAACGACGTCGTTGCGACCACCTGCTGTTTTTATTACCAATACGCTGTTCACTGGAATTATTGCCACTTAGTACTGCGCGGTGTAATAACTTAGAACTTACCCATGGTCTTTGGATTTAAATGATTTCAGTTTTGAATCTAACTTCTTGTCTTTCATTTGTTTAAAAGTGTCCAAAAATGAACCATCATTACTGAACAAATTGAAACCTGTTGACTTTTTAATGTCTACTTTCTTAGGAGGACTAAAAGATAACAATCAAAACAACATCGCGTTTATGGTTAGCCATACCTTTTCGATTGTTTATTTGGTGGTGTTGGAGATGACGCTTTCGTTGTAGTTTCTGTACTTCCTTTCTGTTTGGCCTCCAGTTTTGCTTGAATTTCACGTTTCTTTTGCTCAATTACTTTTTCTTGATGGGACATTTGAGCAAATCGATCATTGCGGGTGATTTTTGGTTGAAAAGGATCAGTTATTGATAGTTTTTTCGACATGTCTATTTATTAAACTTAACAGTAAACTTAACCACTTATTTTAATGTTTCTATTCACACTTTTTTTAAATTACATAATTGGAGCATCAAAATGAGCCGCAATAATTAATAAACAATGCACTTTGACACAAAGATGTACGCCATTTTTATTGACGATGTTGATTTGATTACTTGGGGCTTCAAGGCCATGAAGTTTCCAGTTTAATGAAAAATATTTGTTTTAATTTTAGACCACAACGTGGGCACAGGCATTATTGAAAATCATTAAATAGTTACGATTAATTATTTAATACGAAACAAATTTAACATAAAAAAATACAGTGTTGTCAATACGAGAATATTGCCTACTGTGATATTGCACTGCAAAGCGTTAATAGATAAGCTGAGGGCTAATAACAAACTTTAAAGTGGAAAGGGCATTATAATAGATAATAATGGTTAATAAATTTCATTGAATAATTATCCTTGCATTAAAGTGCTGGTGCTGGCAACACAATAAGAAATAAGACTATATATGGCAACGTCGTCTACAGTTTTTTTGCTTGCCTAGGTTGCCCACTTTATTATGATAACAGGTTAATGTCAAAATTGTCAAATTTACAAAGGAAAGCTAGGTTATGTGCAAAACGAGGCATTTTGTATTTTTGTATCACTGTAACTGACGAGATTATTTTGATATAAAAGTTTGGTTAAAAATGTCTGTGTGGAAGAAAGCCGCCAAAGCACACCAAAAAAGCCATAAGGAACGTCATCAACCAGACGACCGTAAGCATCTGGGATTATTAGAAAAAAAGAAAGACTATGTTCGACGAGCTCAAGACTTCAACGAAAAAAAGGAAACCCTTAAACTCCTTCGCAAACGAGCTCTTAACAAAAATCCAGATGAGTTTTACCATCACATGATTAATTCAAAAACGGATAATGGCATGCACTTTGAAAAAGAAGCAGAGGAAGAAGATACTCCAGAACAGGTCCGGTTAATGCGAAGTCAGGATTTGCGGTATATTACGATAAAGAAGACACAAGAGCAAAGGAAAATTGAGAAGCTGCAGGCACAGCTACATTTAACAAGTGTAGATCATAACGTGAAAAACAAACACATTTATTTCACAAAAAATAATAAATCTTCGTTGAAAGAAGAGAAATTCAAACAACTGGCCCAGAGTGAATTACCTGACGTTGATCTGGATGACTTAGCGGAGGCGGCGAAAAAGAAGAAACACTTGTATAATGAATTGGGGAAGAGGATTCGTAGGGAAAAGGAATTATCAGTTGTCCAACAGAAAATTGAGATGAAAAGACATGTGGAAAATAAAAGGAATGTTTTACCACCAAAGCGGTTGAAGAAGGGAAACCACAATAGAGCGCCAATCTATGTCTGGAAATATGAACGAAAAAGGTGATTTATTGAAATTTTTAAATAAATTATTCGTAAGAGTCTATAGTAATTGATTCATCTTCCTCAATATCACTTTTTAATATTTCTCCTACCAAGTGGTAAATTAGTGAAGCATCAATACCTTTGGGCTCTGCTACTTTAGCTTTCATGTCACTTAAGCGTAAAACGTGACCCTTTTTTAAAGCTTTAGAAGCCACTAAGCTCTTCCCTAATTTTTCGTAACATGCTTGTTCCGAATTTTGAAATAATTTCACAGAGTCGCCAAGAGCTATCTCCAAATGTCGCACTTTCTCAACTAGTGTTCGAAATTCCCATGGTTCTAATGAACTCTTATGATCAGATCCCTTTTGGTTTATGTCTAGTGTTATATGTCGTTCAATTATCTAAAATGAATGAGTTAAATTGATACCCGGAGATGGAAAAAATTCTTATTACTTTTGAACCCAATGCAACAGCAGCTACTGTTGTATCAATGCCAAGTTCATGCCCTGAATACCCAACGACAATATCAGGAAATGTTCTTTTATAAAGACTGACCACTTTAAGGTTTATCTCATTAATTGGAGTGGGATAAGCTGATACACAATGTAAAAGGGCAAATTTTTTATGAAATTTGCTCACACATTCATAGATATTTTTAACACCAGGCAAATCTTGCATTCCTACAATGTTACGTTTAAAAGCAGTTAATTATAAATTGTTCCAAACCTGTCGATATTACTAGCGGAATATTAGTAGCTGCAGCTTTTTCAATAAAAATTAAATTATTAGAATCACCGGAACCTATTTTTATGAAAGGCACTCGTATGGACTGAAGAAAATGTAAGGACTGCACATCCATAGCGGACGCAGTAAACATGATGTTTTTGTGATTCGCGTAAGTTTTTAGTTCCATAAATTCTTCTTCCGTGAATTCCAGGTATTTTTTGTGGTCTCCATACGTGGATCCCCATGAATTTTCACTACGATACGGGCGATTTAGAGCCGCTTGATTAAATTTTTCTGTGAGACACGTTTTTTGGAACTTAACACAGTCAGCACCAACTTCCTAAAAATTGGGTAAAAACTTATCGTTGCACATTTTTGATGGACTTTTCACCTGCGCTATTTCTATTAGTTGTTTTGCTACATTTATATCACCTTGGTGGTTTTGGCCAACTTCTGCAATAATAAAAGTCGGTCGATTTGTACCGAGTTCTCGTGTACCGAACTGGAGTTGGGGCATTTTATTAATGGTAATGGTACGGATGTTTTAATTGAATGATGGATGCGTTTGTACTGATAAACCTTAATAACTTTTTCAAGGCTTAAATGGGTAATCAGCAAAAACATTTATACATGGTGTTTCAGCGAAAAGTATTCAAGGTGATATTTCTGTAACGGTGTGTTTTTTTATGGCAGTTGTAATTGTTTTAAACGTGAATTCTTGTCTTATTGTAACAACTACAGTACATATATCAATAACGCAATAAATGATCACCAACGACAGTATTTATAAAAATTACCATAATAAAAACGATACAAAAATTGAAAGTAACATGTAGGCAATAGTTTTTTGACTTTGTTGGTATTGTAGTGCTGAGGTTGTGTAAATAAAGAAGATAGTCGGTTGGTCAAGGCTTTATTAAGATGCATTTAGAAGGGAAGGATTTTTTAAAATAGTACACCTGACACTAAATTTTCGTTTAATGTGTTTACAAGCAAAGTAATTTTATATGGACAAAAATATACTATACCCCAAAAATAACCCAGGTGTTTCACTTAATACCAAAAATTAAAATATGAAGTAACTAATAACTAGATAAAACAATAATTTTACAAGGATTAAAGTAGACACTAGGACTTTGTATTGATAATATTACTTCATAAGTTTAAAAATGAACGTGAGGGGACAAGTAGAAAAATACTCTTCGTACTGTTAGAGCTTTATATTTAAACAAAGTGTTCGTAATATTACCAATAAGAAAATAAAAGAATAACTAAAAAATGAATGTTTGAAATAAATATGGAAAGTTTGTCACAGCAGAGGTGTGAAAACAATCATCTACAGGCTTCCTGGAGATGCATGTCGCGCTCTCACGATTGTAGAAGTCGTCTGATCTCATCACATAGGTGCGGCATGACATTGAACTTTCTCTGTTATTCAATCGGTATTCGACGTCATGGACCTGTGTGTGCTGCGTTACTGATAATTTGACAATCGACAATCAGATCAACCACTTACAAATTTTCATTAAACCGCTCCCGCGATTCTTGTAAACATCTCCGTGTAAACGTGATCAATATGGTTGGGAGAACTGGGCATTTGGCTGGTAGAAGGCCGATCTGTCTCCCTGATAGGTCGAGTCTTGCGACAAGAGCCCGTCCATTTGCGACTGGTACTCTGCCATGTATGGGTCCTGGCTGAGCTCCGGCTGGCTCAGTCCAGGTTGGGACAGGCTGAATCCGGGCTGAGACAATCCCGGCTGGGACATGCCCTGCGTCAGTTGCAAGCTCTGGCTGAAGGGCTGCGTTTGCTCTTGACTCAAAGTCTTGCCCTTTTGCCGCACTGGCGGTTTGCGGTTGCGCGGATTTTGCTGTTGGCGCGCTTGCATGGCTTGCTGATGTTGGTTGTAAAACCTCGGTGGGACATCCGCCATGTTCATGAACACTCCCACCGGAACCGGCAGGTTCATACCAGCCTGGGCCCTCTCTTGGGAAATATAGCTGATCGGATCGTGGGTTCTGCTGAATATGTCCAGGGGTACGGCTCCTCTGGGATAGCTAAACTGACCATTAATAGCCGTATTGGTGCGATCGTATATAGAGCCGGGTACCATGGCCTCGCGAGCGTCGAACATAGATGTGGTCATAAAATGCGAGCCAGGATTGTCAGAATTGGTCAGCTTTTTCGGTTTGGCGAATTGGATGAGAGACTCCTTCAAGTTGGTTAGTGGTCCTTCAACTAACACTTTCTGTTCTTTGTAGAATGAGAGTAGGTGATTCCATAGTGGTTGTTTGGAAAGGACTTTCGGATTGCCGACGATTATAATGCCATATTTGGCTCGGGTTAGTGCGACGTTTAAACGACGTGGATCATTAAGGAAACCTATTCCTTGGTGTTCGTTCGATCTGACGCATGACATTATGATGATGTCTTTTTCGCGACCTTGGAAAGCGTCAACGCTTGCGATTTCGATTTCTTGGTAGTTTTTGCTGTGGAGAGATCCTTGGTATTGCATGTATTGGACTAAATAAGCTCGTTGACCTTCGTATGGGGTGATTACTCCTATTTGTTCTGGTTTTACGCCGGATCGCAGAAATCTGAAAGCAATATTACATGTTGGGGTTGATTCGCATTAAACGACTATATTTAAAAAGAATTCCGTACGAAATTTAAATGACAGTAATAGATCATATTCCACTTGCTACACTGAAGACACATTGTTGTAACACTGGTTATTGGGTAAAAAGATACCAACTTTGGCCTCAAAAGAATTTTTTTTTCAAGAAATAATTTGATGTAATATGGAAAACATATCTCCTTATACTATTCAACACTAAAGTGATTATGGAAATCCTTAAAAAACGATGCAGGTTGAAGTTATAAAGAAAAATATTCGTTATTTTGTATTAATCAACAATCGACAAAAAATTTAAATTATTTGTACGCATTTTCAGGTATCAGAAAAAGACAGACAGCCGTTTTAAAAAACGTTTAACCTGAATGCGAGGGGTAAAAGGTCAACACGGATTCATAAATCACACATGGAGGACTATGCTACTTTAAACATTTGTTCGGTAGAATTCCAAGATGACGTCATAATTTTTTGGGAAGACCTTAATCGAACAAATTTTGATTAAAGTTTTACCACCTGTCTTATAACCTTAAAACGTTTGGAATATTTCAGCACATTCACTTTTGCCATTTTAAAGTTAAATTGTAAAATACAATTTTGATTTTTTTTTCAAAAATTTCGATGTCTAGGGGAAAAACGCAACATGGATTCTAAATTATACATACATGGAGTACGTAATTCTATAAAATTTAAGGAACATTTGTTCCTAATAATGACGTCATCATTGTTAGGAGGCCATAAACGAAAAAAAAATTATTAACGATTTATCATGCTTACAATAATCTTAAAAAGCTCGCAAGTTTGAAAGTAAAGTTGTAAAATGTTATACAATTTTGATTTAAAAACACTGTTGTGAAATAATTAAAACAAACTTGGTGACTTTCATTACTTGAGTAATAATAATAAAAAAATTGATCGAAAATAGTTTGATAAATTTAGTGTATGTAAGTAAGTTCTAGTCAATAAATATGATTTAATCTTAAGAGACTAATATTTATTAAACTAGTGTAAGTACTCGTTGTCAAAATAACCGTATGTGACAGATATAGCTCATTGTTATATGGAGATCGGCATATAAGAATTAGACAAAATAATCGATTATTTTATAGTGTTAAACAGCATTGACTACTGGAACGTCACCACAAAAGTCATTCGAAAATATCTGCAGTCTCACTTATCAGTGTTCAAAAATGTGATGAATAATAATTAGTGCCTTAGGTCATCTGTGGTTTAAAATACACATAGAATAAACAAAAACAAGTTCAAGATAATACTGTGTTTTTTCTACCCCTGGGTGATTTTGATTATGAAATAGTACTTTTCCAATTTACAATTATTTATGCATTAAGAGAAAACAGTACCTATTACTACACAGATGCATAAGTAAACACCTTTCTTCAGACAATCTAAAAAATTAATGATTACGGAATACCTAACGATAATTGTTAAATGACGTAGTACTAGAGAAACAAGTTTGAAGAACAACAAATACGCAAATCTGGTAAAATACGGTAAAGAGCAATGAAAATAATTACAAAATTTTTGTCCAATCTAACAACCTGTTACTTTTTAAAATTGGTTGCGAAATTATACTAATAAAATTTCCTCAAAAATGTTCTAACCTCCCTTTTTTTGCTTCTTAGCTTAATCCCAGCGACCGTGTCATACTGGGTTTTTCGTTAATAACATACTAAGAAAGGTGTCAAAAACATTTAAAAAAATTCTAATTTCACACTTTCGTAATAGTATAATGTGTAATTTTTTTTTTTTTATATTTAGCACTTTCCTATTTCTGTAATTTTCTATGACATCTGAAACTTTTGGAAATAAGCTTGATTGATTTGACAAATTTGAATAAAATTAGTATGATAACAGATAATTCTGGCTCTTGTCGAATAAATGAATTTTTAGATATTTATTACCGGTCAATTGAAATACCGTTTTCTTTGGGAATTCTTTCTTACAACCACCAGAGCGTGCTGATGTCAATTTGTTTTAAAACTTCACTATTGTAGGTAAATTACTTCACAGACTGCACGTCCTAAAAAATTTATGACGCCATTTGACAACGTTATTATATTGAAAAATGCAACATGCCATGTTTTATTATTCACTTTCCATCATGATTTAATTAATGTCTTTAAAATTATGACACCATGAATAGTATTGTACACTTCAAAGTTACTGTATTTATCCTTACTAAATTTGATTCCAATAAACTGTTTGGTAAATATGCTCTAACACACTTCAATGTTATTTTAATTGTGACTTATTGGTTTAAAAAAAAAAACGTTTATTGAAAACGCACTGTGAGAGCACGACTAACGTCTCTCAAAATATGGTATCTAAGTGAAAATATAACTAAAAAAAATTGGTCGAAAGTTGTTTCGACAGAACTTCCCTCGCTCCTGAAATACAATGATAATTTTTTTTGAGTCACCCTGTATACGCAAATCCAAAAAATATTAATGGAATGATAAATCGCAAGTACAGACTCATCATTTTTTGTACATTTTAGATAGGATTTAGTCGGTAGACTTTTGAGCTGACGTCATCAATTTTTTGGAGGGGATAAGCAAATATATTTTGACTAAAAATTTATTTTGTTCTTTATAACCTTAAAACATCTGCAAGATTTCAACGCATTCGGTTTAGCAGATTCACAATGAAATCACAAAATGTTGTTTTATGGTTTTGATTCTTTTTCCAAAAATTTGAACGTTTCGGGTAAAAACTATACGGAATCATAAACTACATGTGCAGCACTATGTTATTTTATACAATTTGAAACCCATTTACTGTGTACAATTTTGAAGTGACGTCATCACATTATTGGTGGGGATGATTAGGCAAATTTTGATTAGCGTTTTACCATCTACATTATATTCTTAATATAAATACAAAATTTGACAACAATCGGCCCAGTACTTTCAGGGATTATCTGTCTATAATAAAAATCCGAGACGGCAGACGGAAACGGGAGACCCATTTCTTCGTACTGTAGGGGTCATGAAAGGTCGAGAGTCGATTACAATATTTCCCTTGCTTACGCTCGGGAAGTAAAAATTTCTAAAACTTAATATTTTGCTCTAAAATAATTAGGGCGGCAATATTTCCAAATTTCTATTTTTATATATAAAATCCTTATGTTCTACACCCGGTACGAGTGTCACTTCTAAAACTAATTAACATTTTTTAAAGGTTTCTAAGAATTGCAACAATGACAAAGACGCATCAACCTGTCATTAGACGATATGGCCATAAAAAATGTTTTATTTTGTACTTTAAAATTCCTCTATTTCTATTAAGATAACTCTTTTAGATTGAATGTAAAAGCCGTTTAACAGTGTTTTTTTTTTTTAATTTTGTATAAAACTTTGTATGAAACCACATTTATTATAACATTTTTATAGAGTGTGAAAGTTCTGTATGCCACTACACAAAATTTTCATAAGAATTTTGTAGCGGTGCATGCTGTGTTGCTGTTTTTAGGAGAATTTGTCTCTAAAGCACGGTATGACTAATGACATTTAGTCTCATGCTCGTCACATTTTAATGTAATTTTGTCTGTAAATTTTGTTTTAATTTTCATTATTGTGACTGAGGACTTTGTTGCAGACACATTGGTAAAGATGTTCTCTAATTCACTTCTTCTGGCATGTTTATTTTTGTAGTGGATGTTTGGATGATAAGGGTTGCGCAGAACTGGCTTGCGCACTTTTCGTACAAATTTATTCAATTTTTAGAACGTGTTCTATATAATTTGTTATAGTGTTAAACGGCTTTAAGAAATCCAATACTTTAAACTGTATTAATAAATACCAGATTCACACGTGTTGCAGAGTAAAAATTTACATGTGAACACGTTTTGTGCATTTACTTAATCGTTTAAATCGAAATCCCATGTTTAAGAAAGTCATCCTAAAATAACCTTCATTTCGGTAGACATAGTATAACACACAATTTGTCGCCCCCTTTGACCACATATATGATCAACTAAAATAAAAACAAATGATTATTTCTTACCTGGTTGCGATCTTCTCTACATTAGCAGCCTCTGTCCTGTTCAAATAGCTGGTACCAGAACCGGCAATTTCCTCCTGCCCTTGCGTGACATGAAAAAACATCGGTCTGTCGGAAATCGGCCACGGAAAATCAATCTTATTCAACTTCCTCTCGTCAGCACACACTCCATTTTGCAAGCTCCCCTCATAAAAGAAATTCGACGGAAACCTCGACAGCTCCGGATGCATCCTGTACTGAACCTCCAAACGGAAAGGTCGAATTCCCAGCACCACCAACCTTTCGAACAAACTCTGCGACAAACCAGCTCTCGCCGCCTTCTTGCACATGACCACAGGCCCCAACTGACAATGATCACCGACCAAGATCAGCTGCTTCACACCCAGAACAACCGGCACCATACACTCCGGCTCAGTCGCTTGCATACTCTCATCGATCAAGATCGAGTGGAACTTCAAACGGACCAATCGTGGATCGCCAGCACCCACGCAAGTGCAACAGATGACGTCCGCCGCTTCCAACAGCTCTTTTTCAGCCAACTTCTTCAACATCCTGTATCTCTTTTCGTCAACGCTGCTCAGTTCGCCCGTTTCGTCTTTCAGTTGCTGCAGCTTCTGAAGCTCGGTGTTGGCTTCCATTTTGCGAATCTGGTTATGCAGGGCTAGGAAGCTGACCGGGGAGTCGATAGCTTCACGGGATTTCGCGCATAGTCGGACCACCTTTAGGTTTGTTTTGTGGATTTTTTCGGTGAGCTGGTCGACTGCCGTGTTGCTAGGAGCGCAGACGAGAACGGGGCCACCGTTTTGTTTGACTAGTTGGTAAACAATGGTGGCTGATGTTACGGTTTTGCCGGTACCGGGAGGGCCCTGGATGAGCGAAAGGGGTCTTTGAAGGGCGTGCTTTACTGCGTATACTTGAGAACGGTTCAAATCGGGAAGGTTCGGTGCCGAGAAGTGCTTCGGGAGGTGGCACCTAAATAAAACTTCTTCGACTTCGTGGCCAAGGAGACGGTGATAGATGTAAGCCGAGACGGACGTGTCGTCGACGGCGAATTTTCGGAGAGCAAGTTGCATTCTGAAATTGAAAATTTTTATGAGGACAATTTTGAATTGAATACTATTTATTGAATCGTTGTTTTAAAAAATAATACTAACTTGAAGTCTATTTATTTCATGGTAAAACAAAACTCGTCGTGACTTGGTCATCGCCAGAAAACAAAATAGACGAGATATGTTAATTACTGCAAACATACTTTACAAAAACGTGTGCTTAAAAATATTTCGAGTCGGCTTAATGTATAACAAAATCTTGAGGTGTAGTAGAATGAAGAACTTTCAAATATATGTATGTTACGAAAAAATCAAACTTGTATAACAAAACTTTACAATGTATCTTAGACGCCACTAATTCAATTACTCTGAAATTTAGCACATACTTTCCAGTTATCATTAGCCCGAGAGTTCTCGCTAACCAAAATTTGTGTATCCATCGCACCAAAATTTCGATGATGTCATAAGTTTGCTAAGTAAATCTTATTTAAAATGTGTAACACGCTATGCGTCTACATGTATCTACTTCGATACATTCTAAACTATACAGTGCATCTTTTTTGAAAGTGGCTATAAGAATTTTCGTGTTAAATTTTATACCCCATGTTAATTTCTGTTAGGGTGGAAACCCGGTGACCATTTTTGCAGTGAAAATAGCCTTAGGGTTCTATTTTGATTTCAACTACCACTTTTCGCAGTAAATTGTTAATTTGTGGTTTAAAAAGTAAAAATTATTTTGGTTATGAAGCTCCGTTATGTACTTTAGGTACATCATACACTTATCATTTTTGACAGCATAATTTTCATTAATCATTAACAGAATGATGGAATTCAAACTAAAAGAAAATAATTTAATGGAAAGTAGCTAAACTGTAATTTGTGTTCGAAATGCAGTCCGAAAGCCGTTGAGCAATATCCCAAACGTTCGTAAAACTCACGTCGAAGATTTTCTAAGTGTCGCCCTTCTTGTGGCCTTGCTGGATATGGGACGATGTAGCAAAATTGTATGCAATTTTTCTTGTCAATATGCCTATAGGCAGATATGCAGCGACCAGTTCCAGTTTTTCTGTTGACCAGTAATCGAATACATAAACAACAATCAAATTTTGGAAATGTCAGGTAGTTGTCCGTTTTACAATATTACCGACAAAAATACGCAAATATATTTTTAAGAGATATGCTTTCATTTAAAGGATAACCGTTAAGAAAGTCGACAAAAGACGACCCAAATTACATCCAGTACAAATTTCAACTCGTGAATTTTTATTTAAACATAAGTTACCATGGGGTATAAAATTTTACATTTTTAAAAATTGGTCGAAAGTTGTTTGGACAGAACTTCCCTCGCTCCTGAAGTACATACAATGAAACATATCCAGCATTTTTAAATGGGCGCACGCACTCTCAGAGGCGTCTGTCATTGTTTCTCTGTCATAGTGAACTTTTCTACCTGCGGTGGGTACCTGGACCAGTTTAGATTCATCCGTATTCGTGCTAGCGTGTTAACCACTTCACTTAAGTTTATGTTTCCGCGTGTTATTGTTTGCGATTTAAAAAAATAAATTTAAAAACCACCCCCTCCCGAAGTGTGCATGTTACGCTACTGACTGTCCGTTGTCAGATTCTGATGACTCACCATGTTGAACTTAAAATAACCCATCTCCAACAACCCCTCTTTCTACGCTAGGTAATAGCAATCTGACGCTCAAGTGTTTATTTATGTTCATACATCGAAAGAATGTCACGTAGAAAATAGTTTGATTTGAATGAGTTTGTCTTCTCAAAACACAGGACTAAAATTATTAATTAAACCACAATCGAACAAAATGTTCTGATATTATAATTCTTACTTTATCATTATTATATAAAGACGTGAGTATTCTTCACCTTTTCGAGAAAATGGGGTGACTCGTTCTTAATTTGACAAATAAATATTTTTTGACGTCATCAACATGAATAATACTAGTCACAGCACAAAAGAAAAGTAGTATTACCAGTCCAAGAAAAAACAAGGACACGTATATCAACTTGGATTGGTGCAGTGTAATACTAAGAATAACAATATTTCCAAAATTTTCTGAGAAAATGGAGTGAGTCGTTCCTGATTTAATCAATAAAATAAATAATAAATCACAAGTAAAAACTCATCATATTTTGCACAAAATTTTGAGATGACGTTATCAATTTTTTGGGGGGAATAAACAGATATGTTTTGATTAACAATTTGCAGGCTTACAATAACTTTAACACGCATGCTTTTTAATTTGTCAGTTTCTCAGCAAAAAAAAAAACACAAATTTATTCAAACTAAAATTTTGAAAAATCGGAAAACTGATAAATCAAAAATTGAAAATTCGATTTTTGAGTGACTTTTTTTTAAATTTTGCATTTATCAATTTCTTGATCTTCGCGATTCTTTAATTTTACAATTTTGTACTTTTTGGAATTCTTAATTATTCGACTTTTCAGTTTCTCGCTTTTTAATTTTTATACATATTTTACGACTTACAATTTTTCAAAATTTCAGTTTTAATAAATTTCTTGTTTTTGTTGAAAGGTTTACTTTAAGAATCACAATTTGAAAAATTGCTGTATTGCAAGATTTCAAAGTATTGCTTTATTCAATAAAATAAGTTGACTGATTCATTAATTTTTCTGAGTCATCCTGTATAAGCAAATCTAAAAAATATGAATGCAATGATAAATTACAAGTATGGACTGATCATATTTTGCAATTTTAGATACGATTTATTCGGTAAAATTTTGAGATGACGTCACCAATTTTTTGGAGTTGATAAACGGATACATTTTGATTAAACATTACCATGCTTATACAGTATAATCTCACTAATCCGGCACTATTATAACCGGAGGGTGCCGGATTATTGGAATGTTCGGATTATTGGATTATAGTGAAAAAGTAATGAATAAAATAAAGCATTTCATAGAGGGAATAAATGTATGTAATGTATTAAAGGAGGTGTAGAGGGGCGAAGGAGGCGTGGGCGGAGGGTGACGGATTATTGGACGTGCCGATCTATCGAACTGCCGGATTAGTGAGATTATACTGTAATAACTTCAAAACGTCTACAAGATTTAAAAGTATTCAGTTTTGAAATTCTTGATTTCATTAATAAAATAAATTGACTCAGTCATTAATTTTTTTGAGGCACCCCGTATAAGTAAATAAAAAAAATATTAATGCAGTGATAAATCACAAGTATTGACTCATCATACTTTGCACATTTTCAGCAAAATTTTCAGGTGACGTCATCAATTTTTTAGGGGGGGATGAGCAAAAACAATTTGATCAAAAATTTACCATGCTTATGATAACTTTAAAACAAAGCATTCGGTTTTGTAGTTCCTGATTAAATCAATAAAATTAATTCACCCATTCATTAATTTTTTGGGTGATTCTGAATATGCAAATCCGAAAAATATGAATGGAATGATAAATTACGAGTACAGACTGATCATATTTTGTACAATTTAGATAGGACTTATACGGCAAAATTTTGAGCTGTCATCAATTTTTTGGAGGGGATAAGTAAATATATTTTGATTACATGCTTAACATAATTTTAAAACATTTGTAAAATTTCAAAGCACTCGGGTTTGCAGATTCAAAATTAAATTGCAAAATGTTTTATACTGTTTACTTTTTTTTCCAAAAATCTGGACGTTTCGGGTAAAAACTCAACACGGCGTCATAAACTACGTGTGTAGGACTATGTTATTTCATACAATTTAAAACCCATTTACTATGTGCAATTTTGAAGTGACGTTATCACATTATTCGTGGAGATGATTAGACAAATTTTGGTTAGCGTGTTACCATATACATGCGATTCCTAATATAAATACAAAATTTGACAATAATCAGTCCAGTATTTTCGGAAATGATCTATTTAATAAAAATCCGGAACGGCGTACAGACAGACGGAAACGGGAGACGTATTTCTTCGTACTCTAGGAGTCGTGAAAGGTCGAGAAAACGGTCGCTTACGCTCGGGAAGTAAAAAAGATACACTGTACAATTGGGTACTTACTTTTTTCTTTAAAAGAAATAATTGAAACGATCGTCGACGATCTAAAACAGTGGTAAGTGCAGCTAACTCATGCAGCTAATCAAATAAACTGAGATTTATGCTATCACCATATAATTTACTAAGAATCTACAGAGTCATCAAAATTGATTGAGAGAGTTGGTAAACCTGAACTTGAATAATTTGGTTTATTAAGTTGTATAAAAATATTAGCTGTCAGATTTGAAGTTTCAAGTTTCAAATTTCAAAACTCAGTGGCGTCTTTTTTCGATTTTTTTTTTGGTAAAAATATTATAATATGCAACACTAAAAAATTCACAGACAGTTCAGATAGTGTTTGAGGTTGGGTATACTCCATATACTAAAGAAAAAAATGTTTTATACTCATATCACATCACAAAACATAGATAACGGGTGTTTTGTTTTTCTTACTTTTTGAGACACTTGATTGCATTTAATCGTAAAAATATCGCTTTTATGTATCCACCCATGCTTGTAGACTTCTGTTGGTGTCTTCAGAGGGATACTGCGAGATCTGGCTATAATAGGAATGCCAATCGTTCGAAAAAAAAAGACCTTTTTCAATGAAAAATGAAGTATTGTTTTATTAATTTTGTATGATTTCAAAAAATTCAATAAACATTTTTCATTGTGATACCTGATGTGATATGTTGGGTACCTATACTCCATATACTAAAGAAAAAAATGTTTTATACTCATATCACATCACAAAACATAGCTAGCGGGTGTTTTGTTTTTCTTACTTTTTGGGACACTTGATTGCATTTAATCGTAAAAATATCGCTTTTATGTATCCACCCATGCTTGCATACTTCTGTTGGTGTCTTCAGAGGGATACTGCGAGATCTGGCTGCAATAAGAATGCCAATCGTTCGAAAAAAAAGACCTTTTTCAATGAAAAATGAAGTTTTGTTTTATTAATTTTGTATGATTTCAAAAAATTCAATAAACACTTTTCACTTTGAAACCTGATGTGATACGATTCTTTCAAGCATGATCCTCAATTGAGTTTGAGGTAAGAAATTTTAACTACATACTGTGCATTCTGTGAATTTTATTTTTTTTTAATTTGTTGCATAGTGTTATTTGTCAGATTTGAAGTTTCGAATTTTTGTCACGCCACTGAATGCATTGCCATATAACCTTAAACAAATCTGTCATAAGGTTGACAAACTTCACGACAAAAACAGGGGGTACCAACTCTCTCAATCAATTTTGATGACCCTGTAGTTATAAGCAGAATGCAAAAGAATGAGTATTAGTAGCGCTTATCCAAAATATCTCTAACGAAATAAACGCATATACCGCGTGCTCAGAAATGACTGCGTCTGTTGGCAATTCTGGATTTTTAGTTGAAATTGGTATCATGATGTTTTCAAAAACTTCCGGTTGTCAACTGTCAAGATTAATAGTTTGTTGACATTTTTACTTTGCAAAATGCACACTGGCAAAATGTATCCAAAATATAACCTAAATTTGTCGCATGTCACGATTGACGTATCTGTTTATGCCAACATAAACGCAAGAAAAAATCACATTATTGTTTAAAAAGTACTGCCAACAGATTCAAGTCATTTCTGATTACATGATATAATAAAATAAAACGTCTAATCATAACTTCAACAATAAAATTTCGAGACAGTGTATTTTTTTAATTAAATGTAATAAAAATTAATTTATATGTAAAAAAACTTCCAAAACCGACAGTGTTCTTAGGGTTCAATTGCTTTGACAGCGACTGGATAAAATTAGCTTTAAATTGGGAAACAAATGAGATAGAAATTTCTTACAAAAATGAACTTTAAAGAAAATCTGAATATAAATATCTCAGGAAGCTTAAAAATATATTGAAATGTACTTTCCTTCAAATCGAAAAATGTTATGGATATTTGGAATAGAGGAAAAACATAAGAGTACAAAAAGGGCTAATGAAATAGTGATGTTGGTTTATTACTAAGAAAAGTTGTTCATAATTTGAATAACTTTTTTTTTTTAATTCAAGAAATAAGCATCAACACTGTGGGCAAACTACTAGATGATAAAAAAAATGTATGTTGCAACTTGATGAAAACATTATAGATAATATTACGAAATTTCAAACTAATGATTCCTTTTAATTAATAAAGATTGTATAGTAATTAAAAAAATTAAGTGGTGCTTGCAGAGACGATGAATTTTATACCTTGACGGTGTACAAGATGCCAGATCTATTTCATTTTGATCGTTACAATGAATGATACTAAAATAAATATAAAGTGTGTATTTACCGTTACACCAGAAGCGTCTACCTGTTGAAGGAATTCGATTACACAAATATTTAAATCAGAGCTCCAAAAATGTTAACCATAGAAAGCTATTTATATGCAGTGTAGAGCCTATGAAGTTACCAGATGCTGCTAGTTATATGGAATGCTGTTTAAAAGGAACATCCGCTACTTTGTATACTAATCATAGGGTCGGTTTTAAAACTAAAGACGTGGTGGATGGCGGTTAAGTACTGCTACAGAAGATATGTGGAGGAAAGTATTGAAAATGAAGAGATGTGTTTCCTCCAATTCTTGTGTTGAGTCTGCACCACAATAATTATTCATTAATGAATCTGAATATAGAATTTTCTAGAACAACGTTTTCAAATGCAAATAATTGTACGTTCAACTTTTTTTAACATTATTTGTTGACAACATTAATTACACGAAGACGAAGTCCGTGCATTGACATGTGGCACAAAAAATAAGAAATATGTGGGTTTCAAAAAAATGGTACAGATCTAAGCACAACTAATAAAGCATTTAAAAGAACACATCAAAAATGAGCGATATAGAACTCTTTCTGTAGACTTTATTAATTAAAAGCCTAGGAAAAAAACAAAAGTGGTCAATATCCATAATGAATCAAATGTAAATTAATTCACCACTTTCTATACTTTCATCAGCGCCATTTGTTATATTATGGAGAAAATGTAGGCGATTATTTAAATTGTGAACCAAAGATTTGGTAGTGTTCCCTTTATTTGTCTCTACTACAGTATGATCTACTGATGTCCATATTCATCACAAACTATTGACAAAATCATTACTAAATTATTCTATTACGTTTCCTACTTTTTCTTTCTCCAATTTTAAATTCTAATTTACTTCATAATAGTTAAATAAACTTGGAGTTGATGGTTTAATTGAATTTTCTCTAATAAATCTAACTTTATTTGGAAGAAGAAAAATCCTTTTGTAAAGATTTCCAACTAAAGTTTGTATGAAATTGTCATGTATTAATTGGTGACGAAATCAATTGCTTCAAAGTTTTGTTGCAGTTGACTTGGTTTTAAAGTAATATGAATTTACTACTGTATATTGCAAATTCAACATTTTTTCTTCTCAACTGGAACTTAAACAGAATACACGAAATGTAGGCTAAACGCCTGAAGAAAGTGTAAAACTTAAAAACAAGCAATGAAGCTATTTTTATAAAATAATCATAAAAAAGAAAAGTAGCTAAATTATATGAAACATTAATTGTAAGTTATCTTCACTAAAACAAAAACACTAAAAGTGTTTGCAACCGGTTTTGCTAGAAATAAACTGACTGAATACGTTTTAACTTTATAATAGTGGTGTAAAAAAATCATAAAAGACAAAATAAAATCAGTAGCATAGATAAAAAAAACCACTCAATGTTGTTATACTTCTTGTGATACATACATACAATTGTTGAATATAAATAAAGTCACATAACAATTACAGGCTTGAATGATTATGTTTATTTCAGTCCCCATTATGTTATGACGTTTGCTATTATACAATTGGATAAATGCAGTCTTTCATAAATACACACTAGTATTCAACTACATTGTTTACAACAATTTTGAATGCAATTAACGCAATTATGCACCGTTAATGTAATCATGCAGGTTTTTTTATTCATATTTTACTAATTCTTTGAAGCGTTTGTACCATAAAGCATATAGTAAATCTGCTATATCAAATACTTCCTAATCACACTTCTCTTTCTCTCTTACACATTAAAAAAGAAACAAACACTTTACCTGTCAAAACTGGTACTTTTCCAGATGAAGTCAACCACAAAGTTGCTGTTACAATCAGTTGGCGCTCCATTTCCATTCTTCAATTCAATCCCAATATCTTCTCCATAATTATCAGGAACTTTGATAACATGTCCCACCCCAGCCCAAGACTTATGCATTTCTCCCACATATCTCAGCCTCAATTCATCTCCATGCATCAACTTCATGTCTCCATCAGTTTTCGCAAGTGTAAAATATGCAATAGTTTTCTTATTCAAACCCACATCCCATCTAACTTCAATATTTTCTTGGGTTTGCGACTCCTTCAACCTCTTATCATAATCAGCTTCTAATTTCACAAGAGGTCCAAATATATTCTGATACTGATAACCATCCTCATATCTCAGCAGCACCTATGACAAAATAATTAGGTTAGGAATTTGACACAACTGACAACTTACTTGTTGTGGTTCCTCATCAACTCCCGGTCTTTCTAGATCTTGGAAAGTGGCATCCACGTTATCCTTCCACAATTCTTCGAGTTTATTGATTTGCTGAGCTGAAATCTGTCGAGCGCGCAATTGTTCTTGTTCAGAGGGGATCTTAACAAGCCAGGTGAGGAAGCAGCGATCAGTGATGAGGGGTTTCCATTGGTCTTGGTCCCAGTTCATATCCTACGAAGTGAAATGTTAAGATTTCATAAGTTAAACAAAATTCAGTACCTTGAGGGAATTTTGAGCTGCACAAGGCTGTCTACATAATAGAACTACTACGGAGTCGGCTTTTGCTGGAATAAAGCCTAGAACAAACACGTTTCGAACGCCGCAGCTGTAGCATTCTAGGATGGTTTCACCGAGAGGGCCGTCTTTGTGTAGAGTGACTTCCTTATGTTTGGCCCTGACCTACAGTTCACATTGTACAAAATGTTTTTTATGGTATGACATGTTACCAGGTGGTTGATGATGTGACTTCCTGACGTGTTTCCTCGCCCGTTGCAAAACCATTTCTTGCAGCAGTTGCACATGACAACGCAGTTCGGCTCATGGATGCCACAATACTTGCAGGCATAATTCGGTAGCTCTTTGCTGTTGAAATACTCTTCATCCTCCTCTTCAAACTGCAGTTCTCCTAGTGTAGTGGTAGCGCTTGCGATTTTATTACTGATATTGTTGTTGAGCTGGAAATGACATTAGCATGGGGGCGACCTTGCACTTATTAACACTAACCTGTACACCAGAAACCTTGGGGCCCGCGTGGTCGTGTTGAGAAGCCTGTGTTTGTGAGGGTATCGTGAAATCCGTGAATTCACATTCGGAGCCCTGGGTGTCAGCCCCGATTAAATCGTTTTCTTCGGTTTCTAAAAACGTGAGAGTTTGCGAACTAGGGCCGTATGCGTCGACACTCATGTTGGCGATTAATTTTATTGGAGCCGGATCACGGAATTAGCCAAGTTTGTTATTTAAACACTTTTAACACTTCAAATTATGACAAATGGACAATGGTTACTTTAAAATTTCTACATTTTTATCTTGGCAAGCGCCATATTTCCTGATTAATCATTTGTTTTTTTATCGTCATTGCTCCTTCCTACCCACTTATTGACGCGGCGCGAAATTCAAAATGATTTTAAATTTAGTATCGTCGTTTTCCTACTCTTTCGTTGGAACCTGTTATTATTTATCAGTTGTTAAAAAAATCTCTGCACAATTCGTGTAACGTATTCTAACCGGAAGAGCTATTGCTAACAAGAAACAGGACTGAATGATGCACTTTGTCCTCAGTGGACACGGAAATGACATGTGACATCACCACAGGGCCGTAATGGCAAAAACAGGAAGAATAAATCTGCAATAATGAAGATACGATAAATTTATAAATTGCAAGGAACACTTTTGTCGGTATGTAACGTACATACAATATGTAAAATAGAATAAGGTTGTTATTCTTCACATGTGCTTTTCCTTTTATTAAGTTGTTAGTACACAATAAAAATAATGTTAGGGGAGTATTTATTACCTCCGTATTAGGTTGAAGTTGAGGTTGACTTCAATCAGAAATTCATCCTTAGTTACTTTGCATTTTACACAATTGATTAATAATATTATAACACGATTAAAATTAATTGCGTAATAAAAGTTTTAAAAGTGTATTATTTTCCTAACCGCATTAATCTCAGAGAAGTATTGAATATACATTTACATACATACATTTACATTGAATTTCAACTAATAATATCTAACTTTATAAATTATGTTGTGCAGTTCATATAAGATGATATTTCAACTCAACTATTGTTAACTAAGTGTTACTCTAATGTGCAGTATTATATACTCCCGTGCCAGGATAAAAGACATTAACATTGATTTAGAAATTATAGGACTGTTGACATTAGTTCCCTCTAGTAAGCTAATGACGCGATATAGAAAAAATACGGAACGGCAGACAGACGGACAGACGGACAAACAGACAGACAGACAGACAGACGGACGGAAACGGGAGACCTATCTCTTCGTACCCAAGGGGCCATGACCAGTCGAGAAAACATAAAAGTAGAGAGTCGGCCGACGAACTCGATTACAATACTTCCTTTGCTTACACTCGGGAAGTAAAAATGTAAAAGATTTCTGTACTCAAAAAGTACACACCGAGAGGCGGTATTGTTTGAGTCTCAGTTTTTTATTTTAGAGCTGATTATAAAGGACGTATAAAAAGAACTAATATATAGGGTTATTCACAAGAAGCTGTGCGCCTAAAAAAATCAAAACGCAACCAGAAATACAATTTCAAGACCATCTTTGATATTTCATACCATTCTAAGTTAAATATTGAAAACCTTTGAAGGATAGGAGACACATTGATAAGCTTTCGTCTTAAATTTGTTTGCTTTAGTTTTTAACCACATAACCCATTACAATTGACGTGTATTTAAAATTATCAAAATTACGACGTCAAAACCAAATTGTTTTACTTAAAAAAATAAATAAACAACAAGTGTATTGTTGGTTGCGTTTTGAATTTTTTAAACATGGAGTTTCTCGAGAATAAACTGTATGGATAATGAATAGAACTGGTTAAGTCTGGGAGCAACTCACTAACAGGAGGCAGCATCTCCCGGGTAGTTTTATTCTCACTTTGACTAGGCCGATATTTTGCTTCCAGACGGCGCCCTTAAGGCTCCTCCTTACAGTCATTAAAATCTGCCGAAATACGGCAAAACGCCACTTCCAATATCATCCTTACTATAGCACTTGAAGACTTGTGCGACATATCTACTTGTTCGTGATACAAAAATCTTCATGGAAATAGTTTTTATATTGCATTAAAGGCTTTCGTTTTTTTAATAAAAAATAATAACAGAAAAACTTATTTTTCCCTTTGAGCCAAAACTATAACGTATTTTGGCTTAAAAAAATCTGACACTGTAGATAATATTATTGCTCACCTGGGACTAATAATTATTTTTTCGTTAAACTATCCATTTTTTAGTTATTGTTGATTAAAGCAAGACCTAAAAAGGGCATTTTTTGTAAATGTAGGCAACCAAACATCTTCTTTCGTCAAGAACGAGCCAAGAAAGTGTATGATTTACGATAGGGGTTGGCCACTATTGAGAGATTAGACGGATTTAAAACCCTTGTTGAGAAAATATGCAAATGAGGTGACCGTAGTGTGTTCTACCTGAAGGTTGAGGAATTGTACAATTATGTAGGAGTATTATATTAATCTAATTTCAGAATAACAAATAAATAACCGAGTTTGGATTTTTTACAAAACTGCCTAACTTGTTTCAACAGCTATAATTACTGCTGATCCCAAGTTAGACAAATTTCAAAATTATCATGAATCAATGAATATGAATAGAATAGAATAAACTTATTCAAAGCAAATTATGAAGATTAAATAGTTATTTGGCACTAATCGTGTGTATGTAATGAATTACTTATCCTTATATCTTTATATTATAAGTTCCTCTAAATTTAAAAATGTAGACTGAGATAGAAATTTCTCTAACCCCTGGAAATGGAAAATTATTTGGAAAAATTTTATTTAAAAGCCATGCTCCCTGAAATTATTGATACACGATGGAGTCGAAATCAGCAACTTCGTCTTATAATAAAAAAAGATTTATGATTTACAGATCATTATTTATTTTTATATCATTATATTTATTATATTCTATCTCAGTAAAAAAAATTTACATACATTTTTAAATTTAGAAGAGGCTATAATATGTATAAAGATATGTAAGTAATTCAACACATACACTCGTTTATTATTAGTGTCACATACAATCGAATCTTCATAGTGTGTTTTGGAAAAAGTTGTTCTATTCTTTTCTTTTTCAGTGATAATTTTAAAATTTGTCTAAGTTATTTCACATTTGGGATCAGCAGCAATTATAGCTGTTGAAACAAGTTAGGCAGTTTTGTAAAAAATCCAAACTCGATTATTTATTTGTTATTCTGAAATTAGATTAATATAATACTCCTACATAATTGTACGATTCCACAACCTTCAGGTAGAACACACGACGGTCACCTCATTTGCATACTTTCTCAACAAGGGTTTTAAATCCGTCTAATCTCTCAATAGTGGCCAACCCCTATCGTAAATCATACACTTTCTTGGCTCGTTCTTGACGAAAGAAGATGTTTGGTTGCCTACATTTACAAAAAATGCCCTTTTTAGATCTTGCTTTAATCAACAATAACTAAAAAATGGATAGTTTAACGAAAAAATAATTATTAGTCCCAGGTGAGCAATAATATTACCTACACTGTCAGATTTTTTTAAGCCAAAATACGTTATAGTTTTGGCTCAAAGAGAAAAATAAATTTTTCTGTTTTTATTTTTTATTAAAAAAACGAAAGCCTTTAATGCAATATAAAAACTATTTCCATGAAGATTTTTGTATCACGAACAAGTAGATATGTCGCACAAGTCTTCAAGTGCTATAGTAAGGATGATATTGGAAGTGGCGTTTTGCCGTATTTCGGCAGATTTTAATGACTGTAAGGAGCCTTAAGTTACATTGTGCTGTGATAACTTAAACATTCCGCCAGAATTGAGACATGCGCATAAAAATTTCAAATCCCGCGAAAGTTAAAATTTAGTCATGAGTTATAATCGTGGACGAAGTGGAAAGTGTGTTTTTTTTTTGGCGCTAAATTTTAAATCGGGACATCACGGTACATACCAAAATTAACATATTTATTCCCACTTAGTCTTAAGATGCTATGCAAAAAAGTTGTTACATATATTGTTATTTAGAAGTTTTACTCTGATAACTCATATGATGTTAAAACGGAGATTTTCAATTTCCGCATGGTTCTTTGTCTTCTATCTGTAGTCCACTGGAAATTTTTAACAAGAAAAATTAATAATTGAAAATATTGTCTTATGTTTGACTCTAGGACTTAAACAAAAAGAAAACTAGCTTTATTCGTTCAACATTTATAAATGGCGCTCACACCACAGTTGCTTTTTCATATATTCAATGGAAGAGCATTATATTAATGAATTTCAGTCTTACGTATTGTGAAATTTTGACTTCATTATTGCTTCTCCCAATGAACTACCTATCCGCTTCCCTAGCTTACCAATGTGTTATTACTAAGACAGCCACATATATATTTTTGTTTCACTGTTAATAATTCCGTAGTTTGGTAGTTACTAGTCTGATAAATTCGCACATTTTATTTGTGTTCATAAGTGTAAAAACGCCACTTTATTTCATATAATACACTTTTATTTTCTTGTATGGTAATGGAGAAATTTGTGTTTTATGACACTTTTAACTTGCTACCGTTATCCGTTCTCCGTTGCGCATTTTGTTTGTTTGTTTTTTTTCTTTGTTTCCTCGAGTGCTTCAGTATTAATATATACATTTGCTGCCACGCCATCGTAATAACCATCAACTCATTTTGGTTGGGATGTCGGAAACTCCAGAATTGTTATTTCACACCCAGATGTTTGTATATTTGGCTACATAAATTTGTAATTATTCTGGTAGACGACAACACGCAGCTGATAAATAAGTTTTGTTGAGATTTATTTGGAATTTTACTTTTTCCAGAGAAAAACCTCATTCTTTTCGCCTTTCACAAAATTTAATAAAAGCAGTACCCTTTTGTATTTTTGAATTTAAGATGAAGATCTAAGGTTACTTTGCCACTTGTGGGGTTCACAACTTTAAATGCAGCCTATCATTTTAACAAAACACGACGTATAACAGACATTTTATTGACGATCCAGCTTATTGTGAAATTTTAAAATTTTCGCGGGTTCATTTTTGTGCGCATGTTCCAATTTTGGCGAAATATTTGGCTTATTAAGGCCGTTTTACACCACGAATAATTATGGCCCTAATTGCAGACGAAATATTTATCCACGTTATTTCATTCCAATTTCTGTTCATATAAAATAAATAGTATTAAAGGTGTAAAATACAAGGTAAAACAAAACTGTGAATATGGGTGTACATACGACGGCGACGTTGAGTTGTTGATATAAATTAACGTAGGTGGAATGTACCGTAGGTTAGCATTAATAGTAGACACAATAACCGGCGCATGCGTAAGTGTCAAGAAAAGCGGCCCACGAATCAAGGAATTTAGATTATATAACAAGTATATTGCTAACGGAGGACAAGTAGTATCAGTTAACAACGCTCCAAATGGTCTCTGGCCCGTCAGCTGTCGTACTTGGAAGCTGTCATTTGAAATGATATATAAATAAATTGGTATTAATGCACCCCTGTTTTATTGGCGAAATACACTAAAAAAAAAAAGTGTATGCAACCAACAATGTACTAGAAAGTGATAATATCAGATGAACGTAAAATATTTATAATTTCCGCCATTCTAACAATCTATTTTCAACATATTTTCGCGTTTTTCTGATTTAAGTCCTGTTTTTTCGTCTTTCAAAGTATGCGGTCTGTTCGTTACAAATTATTTTCGTTTTTTACACAGGGATCCAAAATTTGTGCCCACCAATACAATGATGACGCTATTAAATAAATCTTTATAAAAAAAATACATCCCAAAATGCGACAGTGTTTTTTTACTGTTCTGAATTGTTTAAAATGGATTAAAATAAACAGATTTCTTTTGCACAGTATTTTAGAAAAGAATCGTTTAGAGTTTTTGAAATTTTGGTAAACTTGTATACAATTCTGAGTAGTGCTACACATTATATATAGCGCAATAAATAATTTATCTCGACCATGAAGTTGATGATGTCATTTCAAGAAATTATAAAAAATATATATAAAAAAATACATTTCCTGCTCTTCAAAGGCGGAACAAAAGCGGTTCTGTGTTAATTATTACATTTTTTTTAAATTAATTAATATGTGTTTGTTATTATCGTGATAAAGCGGTTACATAAATCCTCGCATAAATCCATTTAGTGCAATTAACATCCATGTTTTAATAGCTGAATAAATTAAAATCAATGAAACCAAATTTTATTTTTTTAATTTTAAGAAATAGGTCACCCGTTTCCGTCTGTCTGTCTGTGTGCCCGTCTGGCGTCCCGATTTTTATTAGACAGATAGTCTTCGAAAGTCTGAGCGGATTGTTGTCAAATTTTGTATTTATATTAGGAATATCATGTAAATGGTAAAACGCTAACCAAAATTTGCACCAATAATGTGATGACGTTGCTTCAAAATTGTACATAGTAAATGGGTTTTAAACTGGATAAAATAACATGGAAAAAATAAAAATTATAAAACAACATTTTGCAATTTAATTTTGAATCTGCAAAACCGAATGCTTTGAAATCTTGCAGATGTTTTAAAGTTATGATATGTGTAATAAATTTTGGATCAAAATATATTTGTTTATCCCCTCCAAAAATTGATGAGGTCAGCTCAAAATTTTGACGAATAAATCCTTTCTAAAATGTCCAAAAAATATGATAGGCCTATACTTTTGATTTATCATTCTATTCATATTTTTTAGATTTGCTTACACAGGGTGACTCAAAAAAATTAATGAATGCGTGAATTTATTTTATTGATTTAATCAGGAACTGCAGAACCGAATGCTTTGAAAAATGATGACGTTAGCTTAAAATAAATCTTAAATGTGTAAATGAGTCGATACTGTGATTTTTTACTTCATTAATATTTTTTAGATTTGTTTATACAGGGTGTCTCAAAAAAATTAATGACTGAGTCAATTTATTTTATTGATAAATCAAGAATTTGCAAAACTGAATCCTGTGAAATATTGCAGACGTTTTAAAGATATTGTAAACATGGTAAATTGTTAATCAAAATATGTCTGTTTACTCCCCCAAAAACTTGATTATGTCATCTCAAAATTGTGCCGAATAAATTCTACCCAAAATGTGCAAAATCTGATGAGTTTTTAATTGTAATTTATCATTGCATTCATATTTTTTAGATTTGCTTAAACAGGTGGCTCAAAAAAATCAATGAATGAGTCAATTTATTTTGTTGATTAAATCAGGAACGACTCACTCTATTTTATCAGAAAATTTTGGGAATACAATACTGTTATTTTTAGTATTACACTGCACCAATCCAAGTTGATATACGTGTCCTTGCAAAAATGATGATGTTCACAAATTTTTAATTGGTCAAATTAAAAACGAGTCCCCCATTTTCTCGAAAATGTGAGAATACGCACGTCTTTATGTCATAATGATAAAATGAAAATTATAATATTCAGAACATTTTGTTGGACTGTGGTTTAATTAATAATTTTAGTCCTCTGTTTTGAGAAGACAAACTCATTTAAATCGAACTGATTTCTACGTGACATTTTTTGGATGTATAAACATAAATAAACATTTGAGCTTCAGATTGCTATTACCTAGTGCTGAAGAACATTTTATCCAGTTACTTAAGTGGTTTAAATATATTTTACATTGTCAACACGGCGCAACGAGAGGGAAGTTCTGTCGAAATAACTTTCGACCAGTTCTTTTAAACAAATTTTCGTGTCTTTCAAAAACATCTCGTGGTGTATGTTGGTTGTTGCTGATTCTTGGTCCATATGAGAATGTTCCACGTAGATTTTATGTAGTCGTCTAATTGGTTGCCTAACTTTGAGATCTCTATAATGTGGCAAGCTTTATTACATGCACCCTGTTTATTTTCAATAGTTTAAATTTGAGTCACGCACAACAGTTGGACAACACTACTTCCTAACTGGTTCCGGGCTGGTCCTATATTACATAGCACCATTTTAGTAATTAGAAATTATTTGCAGTGAATGAAATTTAATTTGAAACGTGGAAAATGGGAATGAGTTGATGCAATAAGTAGGAATTATTTATGAACTATATTTATGTTAAAACAACTGCTGATGAATTTTAGTGACATTATAGTGGCACTACGGCTAACAAAGAACGAGTGTCATCATCAAAACCCAAAGACTACAGTTAAAATTTAGGTAGGCACTTGTTTGCTTATTCTTCGCTCAGCATTTTTCTATACTAATAAAATTTTAAAGATTATTATTAGTGTCATTAACGATGCCAATCTGTCTTCCAAATTTATGTATGCAGTATTCAAAAACATACTTTATCAGAAATTCATTTGGCCAAGTTTTAAAATAATTTTATGATGTTGCAAGTCCGCTACATACCAGCACGAAAACACACAAACAATTTATCACCATACATGAACAAAATGATCACTACAAACTGCTCAGTTAAATTCATTATATATTTCATAAACGCACATGTTCGATGTTTGTCGACTGCTAAGGTTTAATTCAAGACCTGTAATTTATGCTTTTACTGAATGTAGGCGTTTCCGATTTTTAACCTTTAGGTTATCATAATTTGTAAAGTAAATCAAATTAGTGGCCGTATTTTAAATGTAACGAAAAAAATTATGTTTAATTTCTTAATAACAAGAACATAATATTGGGTGATTTTTAAAATTTGCTCTAGTTAGCTATGACGCTTGCGTCAGCAGTGTAATTGAGACCGCTGACGTAAGATCATGGCTAACTAGAGTAGAAATTTAAAAAATCATCCGATATATTGTACATATATTGCAGCCAGTTAAATTTTCCCCGACACACAAAAATTTTGAAATACGACAGTGGGTTCCAAGATGTATGCACCAGTTTTTACTTTGTTTAGTGCCAACTGTACATTCCAGACACTCGATAAAAAATTCATTTGTGCGTTTTAAATATTTTAACAGATTATTAACTTACTGCAGCGTTACGTTATGCGACGTGATATTGATTTAAACTTGCTGCACTATGGGAGTAATCAAAAGATACTTTTTAAATTCGTCCTTGCATGGATTACACTTTGTCGCAGATAAAAGATTTCACTGGACAGAGAGATTATTCTGGACCATATGTGTTTTAGCATCTTGGGTAAGTTATTTATTTTACACATGGATAGATATACTTATTTATTTTCTTATATCATTAATAGGGTGCCTCCTTGGCCATAATTTTAAGTGCCATTGAACAATATCAATCACAGAAAATATCTTTTTCTGTAGACACATCTTACTACGAGTGGGAAACAAATTTTCCATCCATTGTAATTTGTGAAAAATCCAACGACGAAAAGATGCATGAAGCTAATAAAAAGTTAGTTATTGTGTGTAAGAATGGAATAATCATTTACATCGTTTTATTTTTTTTTAAGCGCTTTTGGAGACATTGCGTCCTCACATTTACCGAAGCTTGAACATTTTGTTTTTTTCGATGGTACAATGAGATATATAGAAGCTTGTGACGTTGGAGGTGCTTTTCGTGATAGATGTATTTTGAATAATTATTCTGAGTACATGACTAAGGTACTTTGTGGTTCGTGTTTCTTCGGCGATTTCTATCTGGCATTTTTAAATTTTAGTTCCGCAGCAGTTGCTCGGAAATAATTGGCTCGTGTTATTACAACGGCGTTGAATTTCCTTGTTGCGACGAATTCCTGTCCATTGGAACTTATCATGGGCCTTGTTTTGCTTTCAATTCCCTGTTCTCTGGGTACATAAATAATATATTTTTGTTATTCTGTGTTGTAGTATCAACTTTGTATGTTTTTAAGGAAATATAAAACTCGAGATCAACTTTCATTCAAAATTAATCGTAATACAGATTACGGTTACGGTAATTTATCTGTAGAACTCTTACACACCGGTCTATTAGTATATGGTTTAAGTCAAGATGCAGTACCTACAAAAGATAGTTCTCGACAATATGTATTAGTGAATTCGGCTAGTAAAAGTATTGTACCTGCCACCTACTATAAAGCGTTTCTTTCAGTAGAGGTGCCCTACTAAAAACACGATAATCACTACATAAATGTAATGGAAATTTTGTTTTAGGAAACGTTTACAGATGAAAACGCAAGATTAATGAGCATTGAAAATCGGGGTTGTCGATTTTATGATGAAAATCATTTGCAACATTCAAAAATTTATAGTATGTCGACATGTGAAAATGACTGTCTTGTTGAGGCTCAAAGGAGTGTTTGTAATTGTACTGTTCATACCTTGCCCCACAATAGTAGTATTTTCGAGATATTTGAGATCATTTGTAACGTGATGTTTTTGTAGAGGAAGTAAGGGATTGTGATTATGACGGCCTGCTTTGCATTATTGATAACGCGCTTATCGCTCAAAAGAGCAGGTCCTGCAGATGTGTTAGTTCTTGTTTCGATGTGGAGGTTAAAATCATTGGGTTTACTAATTCCACCGGGATGAGAAATGAAATGTAAAGTGTAAAACTGCGTTTTCGAGGGAGGACTGTCATTAAATTGCCAAATGTATTTTACACAAATTTTGTAAGAAAATAGAATTATCTAAAATGCATTAATAACTTTTCGGCGTAACATTAGCAACAAAAAAGTTCTGAGTAGAAAAGTGTGAAAAATTTTTAGGCGAGATAATTCTTGTGTTTTGAATCGTACAACAAAAGATTGATATGTTGCACTGTATTGTAAACCGGTTTGTGCAGTGAAACAATAGTTAGGAAAGTTATGTAGACTGAATTTGCCGCTCCTCCAAAGGATAATCCGATAAACGAGTCCAGTTTTTTTTTTTATTATAAGATTTGTCTTGGTGGGTTATTAAACTGCAGGTAAAGTCGTATGTTATGTTGTACATGTTTTAAGTGAGATTTTACAACTAAAATTTTCTGCTGACGTTTTCAGCTTTTTAATGGAGAATTTATGTATATCAGTTTTATAGTACGTACAGTGTAGCAGTAATGAGAACAACAATACTGTCTTCCCCGAATTTTGGGGAAATTAGGTAAACGGTTTCTGATTTAACCATTAAAATAAATTGCTTCATTCACAATTTTTTTGTGACATTCTGTACAAACAGTTCTCAAAAATATGGATCGACTAGCAAACCACAAATAACTAAATAGAAGCATATCACATTGTAAATTTCAGGTGAGATTTAATTTTTATAATTTTTATAAAATTTTGGGAGCACGTCATCAAGTCTTTGGAAGGAATTAATAGCGATTTACTATGCTCATGATAACCTTAAAAAGCATAGAAATTTTCAGAAAAATCGGTTTCATAGTTTGCAAGTTACCTACATATTACCATTAAAATTTTGTTGATAAATTTTGATTTTTTTTTTAAATCTGCATATACAAGATTAAATCTAGAGGTAGATTAATAAATAACAGGTACAGAAACAGTAACTCATCAAGATTTTGGGATGACGCCATTAAAGTTTGTTGCCGATGATTAGATAAATCTTGGTTATCTACATCACATTATCTAAAATTTGACACTACTACACTACACTACTTTTAGTGTAGTAGTATCGGATATTCTTTGCTTAATAAAATCATCCACAGATAATGAAAATGAAGGACCTACTTTTCGTATTTTGGTAGCTACGAAACGTCTAGAAAAAATAAAACAAATCCAGCTTTTTCGAAAAATTATAAAATGTGATTATGCGATTTTTATTTTTTTATGAGAACCTTTATAAGTTAAAATAAAGATATATGTGTAATGTTAAAGTAAATGTCAAGAAGTGTGCTGCTCGTATGGTCCACATGAGTTTTCCTTCAACAATATTTTCTGATGACGTCATTACTATTTTGCAAGGGTACGTATATCTGTCAATTTGAATTGGGCAGTGTGATACTAATGATAACAGTATTGTATTCCCAAATTTTCTGGAAAATTTAGTGAGCTGTTCCTGATTTATTCAAAAAATTCAAAAACTTTTAGCGCAATGATACATCAAGTATAAACTCATCATATTTTGCATTTTTTGGATAGGATTTTTTATAAAATAAGATATTCCTGCACTTATGGTGTATGAATCTAGACATCCAGATTTTTTGAAAAAAATTCACAATTGTGTAACAATATTTTGCAATTTAACTTTGAAACTGTTCTGAAATTTGAAACGTTTTAATGTTATCGTAAACATGGTAAATCGTTAATAAAAATGTATTCGTTTATTCTCTTTCAAAAAATTGATGACGTCATCTCAAAATTTTGCCGAATAAATCCTCCTGAATATCACAAATCTACAAGTTTAAAACATTTAAAAAACTCACAATTTTCAGTTCAGAGCAGTTTCTAAGTACAGTTTCCTGGAACACATTATTCATAAAACTTACTCCATTGGCAAAGCTGATCAATTACTTAAAATATATCGCATAATAACCGTAAATAAGTTAGGTGGTTTATTTTATTACAAAAAATATTTTGTAGAATTGAAAGCACAAGATTTATTTCACCTCAAACTATATTATTCCCTAGTTTTTTATCATGTTCTATTTATGAATTTTTTATTATTAATGGTTTGTAAAAGTTGTAGATAATTACTGTATTATTATCTATGTATAAAAATGCTCTGCACAAAATTTTGATCAGGGTGACAGTTTGACAAGACCTCCAATCCCGAAAAGTCAGTTTTACATTCACGAAATCTAAAAAAAAGTGGTCGAAATTTATTTCGACAGAACTTCCTTCGCCCTTGAAGTATAATCGGACAAATCCAGCTCTTTAAAAAAATATATAAAATTTGATTTTACGATTTTCCTTTTGTAATAATCTCTGTAAAGTAAAAACCAGCGGCATAAATAACGTTCCCGCACCCCTTGTGCCGTACGGAGAATGTAATTAGTAATTTACACAACTAGTTCGGGATAGCCTGCTTCCCGCATGAACGCTTGTTTGCGGCACGACCGAAGGGAGTGACGCATTTGCGTGAATGCGGGAAGCAGGCTCACGAACGTGTTGTGTACAATATTTTTTGCAACGAATAAACGTTTAAACTGAAGAGATTAACTGTGAGTTATTTATAAACAACGGCATTGACAGCGCCGTCAACACATCACAATGTTGACACTACCCGAGTATTTTAAGGTTACCATGGCAACGGGAAGTTAAATGCACGTGTGCGGGAAGTTCGAACTCCCGCACCCTGGTGAATGCGCGAAAGCCATCAAAAAAGGTCATGAGTGCAAAAAATATATTTAAAGCACTTAATTAACGGGATAAAATGTCCTTCAGCACTAGGTAATAGCAATTTCAAGCTCAAGTGTTTATTTATGTTTGTATATTGAAATAATGTCACGTAGAAATTAGTTTGATTTGAATGGGTTTGTTTTCTCACAAGACAGGATTAAAATTATTAATAAACCACAGTCGAACAAAATGTTCGAAATATAATAATTCTTAATTTATCATTATTACATAACGAGAAAATGGACTGACTCGTTCTTAATTTGACTAATTAAAAATTTGTGATGACGTCATCAACATTTTTGCAAGAACATATGTCAACTTGGATTGATGCACGGTAATACTAAAAATAACAGTACTGTATTCCCAAAATTTTCTGGCAAATTGGAGTGAGGCGTTCTGATGTAATCACTAAAAACAATTGACTCATTAATTGTTTTCAGTCAACTGTTTAAGCACATCTAAAATATATGAATGCAATTATAAATCACAAGTAAAAACTCATCATATTTTGCACATTTTGAGTAGAATTTATTCGCAAAATTTTGAGAATTCTTGATTTAATCATTAAAATAAATTGACTCAGTCATGAATTTTTTTGAGACACTCTGTATTAGCAAATCTAAAAAATATTAATGCAGTGATAAATCATAAGGATAGAGTCGTCATATTTTGCACATTTAAGATCACGTCATCAATTTTTTGGAGGGGATAAGCAAATATATTTTGATTAAAAATTTAGTATGGTTATCATAACTTTAAAACATCTGCAAGATTTCAAAGCATTCGGTTTTGCAGATTCAAAATTAAATTGCAAAGATTGTTTTATAGTTTTGATTTTTTTTCCAAAAATCTGGACGTTTCGGAGTTATAAACTACATGTGTAGGACTATGGCATTTTGTATAATTGGAAACACATTTACTATGCACAATTTTGAAGTGACGTCATCACATTATTGATGGGGATGATTATACAAATTTTGGATAGAGTTTTACCATCTACATGATATTACTAATATAAACACAAAATTTGACAACAATCGGCCAAGTACTTTCGGAGATTATCTGTCTAATAAAAATCCGGGACGACAGACAGACGGATAGACAGACAGACAGACGGACGGACAGAGACAGACGGACAGGCAGACAGACGGACTTCCCAGTTTTTGAAGTCGAAACATTTTTAGTTCCCGAGGCTAAGGAAATTTAGTGACCGAGTCCATCGGGCGACATCTCAGCTGATTGTTTTCTCGACGTTTCATGACCCCTAGAGTATGAAAAAAGTGGCCTCCCATTTCCCTCTATCTATCGTCTGTCCGTCTGTCTGTGTCAACTTTTATTGGACAGACAATCTTCGAAACTGCTAGTCCGATTGTTGTCAAATTTTTCTTGTATGTTAGGAATATAATGTAGATGGTAAAAAAAATGGCTAATCATTCCCACCAACAATTTCATGACGTCATCTCCAAGGATTCTAAATTAAAATAATTTAAATATTGTACAATAATATACTTCTAAATTTGTGGTGACGAATCCACTTTGAGTTTTTAAAATTTAAAAAAAGTTAAAAATTAACATAATATAAAACATTTTACCCCTAATAGCACACGACGTAAATCTTCATATAGAGTAGTAACTTACCGCACGTTTAATTCCAATCTTGATTAATAATAATAAAATTAATGAAGCTCTATTTTTTTATTGATCGGATTAAGAATGAGTCACCGTATTTTTTATGAGAATACGCCCGTCCTTATTTAATAATGATAAAATAAGAACTATTATTTCTAATAATATTCACAACATTTTGTTCCATTGTGGCTTAATTAATAATTTTAGTCCTGTGTTGAGTGCATTCAATTAAACAAACATGACATTCTTTCGGTGTGTAAACATAAACAATCGAAATTAAGCATGTACACTGATAAAAACACTCTTTTTCCCGTTGGTTATCTGCTTTAAATATATTTAATATTGTCAGCACGTGTGCGGACCCACTTCTTTGGATTTGTCATTTACGCCATTGGTTCTCACTTTCTAGAGGTTAGGGGGATTTGTTGGGCTGTACTTCAAGGGCGAGGGAAGATCTCTCGAAATAACCTTCGATCATTTTTTCCTATTCGTTTTTTGTTTATCTTGATGCACGTTGCTCCTGCATTGAAAAAATATTTCAGGTTTAGGAATGATAAAAGTCTTGCTCGCATCGACTTCGTTGTTCAGCCATCGACTATTCGATACACGAGATCCGTCGTCAAGGATCCACTTTATATGTTGGGTAAAGAAATATTTCTATGTAGAATTATGATTATGTAAATTATATACTTTCCAGTTTCTGTAGGTGGATGTGTTAGTGTGTTTATAGGAGCAAGTTTGCTGTCAATTATCGAAATAATATATTACTTTGTTATTCGCCCATTAGGGGATAGGTATCTACAAAAAGAACAGATTAAGACTATTCAGAAATGCAAAAGGCAGCAAATGGACCTGTTTGATGGGTTTCATTTTGAATATGTAAACTAAAATACTGAAATAGATGAGATCTTTCGGGATATTTTCTGCCAATGGAAACAAAAAATCACATAAACAATTATATTCGCTTTAACGCTCTGCCACCACCAGCAGCTCTCACATAAATTATATCCATTATTGTAAACAACACACATTATTTTTTCTGCTTGAATAAACCATGCCACAAACTGGGCTTGAAAGAATTTTTTTGAGGTGGAGAAAATGAAGAACATCTTTTTGCATATTCGTCGATTTAATCTTGTCGCAGGCAAGGTCTCCGCCTTAAATTAGCATGCTGAAGTTTCTGCAATACTGGGAATTAATTCTGAATAATTCATGTTTAACTTACAGACGGATACGTTTCATGGTCCTCAGAAGATGGGAATAGAGACAAGGCTAATAATCCATTGTTGCCTTTTATTAAAGAGTTTAACAACCATCGTTCTGCCTCTCTCACGCGACATCCATTATTTAAGAGAGATAACTCTGTTTCCTTGTAATAATTCGCTTTATTGCTACGTACTCACTTTTCGAATAAAAATCGGTGTAGGAAAGAGTTACGTAATAGGGAGTAAAACAACAGGAATTATCCGTTTATCTCAATGAACAAGAGTAGAGAAGGAAAGTCTATTGTTCTGGACTGAATTAAGACGTTGCGAAATTTGTCTGTTCGAAACTGTTGTCCTAATTCACAAAAGCAAAATTGGTCGTTCTCGTTTCGAAATTTTATTAAAGGCAATTAAGAAATATTTGAATATTTCAAAATGCAACAGTTCCGAGTTAGAAGATCACGATAATTTGTTAATTATGTTCTTGTTAAATTACCAAACAATGGACGACAGGAAGAAATGATTTTAAAGTACTCACGAAGCATCTTGCTTCAGATAATGAATGAGGAAATAGGAAAAAATGAAAGTTTTAGAACGGCCGTTAAAGATGGTGCAGGTAATTAGAGCATTGCTGTTACTTCTTTGTGTTAAATGTTGCTATTAATTATGATTATTGGGGTTACTGACCGCTGTAATTAAGTTAAATAATTTCTTTCTTTGTATTAAAAATTCGTTCTTTTTTTGAAAGATTCATAACTGCTCTACATTAAATGTTGACCGACTTTCCGCGTAAAACGAATAAATTTATTGAGTTTTGTCTTTTATTTGCGGTGTTGCTTGGTTGATCACTTATTTATTTCGTCTTTCCAAAAAGAAACCTTCTATACGTTGGAAAATTATTAGACGGTTACTTTAAAGTGACGCTTAGTTCAACAATTGACGAAATATTAGGGTCATTTCTTGAAGTACTCTTCAACACGTTTACACTTTTTTTTTTAATATTTCAAAATTGCTATCTCTACAAAAAATATAAATAAAATAATACATGATCGTAAGATAAAATAGCGACATAATAAAAATTCTAAACAAATTACGAATTATGATGAAACACTTGTCGAATTTTAAGTTGCTGAAATAATTTATGAGCGAAAATATTTCACACAGGCTCGATATTAGGATTTATTCGCATATTTACATTTTAGGTTGTTCTAACACGGTCTAGATTTCGGTATTAGAGTAACCTTTTGATATTTAGATGTTAATTCATGTTTAGATTCTCAAAGTGTTTGTTACAAAGTTTTTCTAAATAACTTTTTACCTCAATACAGCATGGGTTTTGTAATACTTTGGTTTTGATTTGATTTTGAAAAATAAAAAAAAATACTTTGAAAGATTCAAAAATGCAATGGAGTGTATTGTACTCCTAAATGAAATGTAACGTAAAAAGAAGTAAACAAAATATAGTGCATGAAGTGAAAATATAAGTTAAAAAAAGAGTTAAAATTATGGTGTAGCACAAGTTTTCTTAGCTGAGAGATTGCATGGAAAACTATCATAATTATCTGCTTAACCAAAGTTCAAAGGAAATTCAAGTGTGCTAATGCTAATGAAGTTTTGCAAAAATTTTCAAATTCAAATCAAGTATTTTCCTCGTTAATTTCACGGATACATATTCTCTAGTGTTTAGTATCTAGTATTTTCTTCCCAAACTATTTTTCTAACTCTTCTGCCTAATTATCATCTTGTATTTCCTGAATGAAATCATCGTCACAAGATGAGTGTAATGACGTATTCCCATCTTCATCAGAACCGCCACTTGCAGAAAGTGTCTTTTTTTAGATTTCTTCACGGCTGTTCCTTTTTTTGATTCCTTGTTTTGTAATTTAATTTCTTTTTTCTTCTTTCCTTTCTCTTTTTCTTCGTGTGCAACTTGTAGTTCGTTTTTTTGCGGAATATCTCTCAAGATTCGTGATTTCCCTTTTTTTAGTTTGCGTTTAGCATTGTTTTATGTGGTTCTGCCTTTATAAAATGTCTCAACATTTCTGGTATGACAATGTTACTGAGGGAGATTAATGCCTGCAGCATTAATTACAAAAATGATGGTAATATTTTGGCTTCTAGAGATCAGCTTTCCTACATGTTTCCACTTTACAAAATTTTGGGATGACGTCAGTTATGTTTTTGGCAAGAACATGTATTTCAACTTATCTTGGTGCAGTAATACTAATAATAACGTATTATATCCCCCCCCCCCCCCGTATTTTGGGAAAAATGGAGTGAGCCGTTGTTGATTTAATCAATAAAGTACATTGAATTATTTTTTTTTTTGCATCATCCTGTATAAGCAAATCGAAAAAATGTGAATGCAAAGCAATAATTTCAAAAGTGTGCGATATACTTTATTATTATTTAGTAAAATAGGAATGACAAACGATACTGCAAACAAAACTCAGGCGGGAGCTCTTTGTGCAGGTGGGTGCCTGGCTGCAAGTCATAAATTAGTGGAACGACCGAAAGTAGCCAATTTTGCATTTTGCACAATCTCGAAATCATATGTGTCAACAAACGGTCAGTCGAAGACGAAATCATATTTTTAAAATACATTTACAGCACATTATCAATGGAAATAGGGCTATCTGAGCAATATGCGTAGTGTTTAAAATTTTAATGTTTACACAACGGAAGAATGTCACGTAGACATTAATTTGTTTGATTTGAATGAGTTTATCGCCTCAAAACAGATGACTAAAATTATTCATAAGCCTCAATTGAACAACATATTCTGAATGTTATTATTAAAATGCTTACCCTATCATTATTTTATTGTTATAAAGACGAGCGTATTCTCACATTTTCGAGAAAATGGGGTAGCTCGTTCTTAATTTGATCAATAATACAGTCAATTTATAATTCATTAATTTTTTTGATTCATCCTGTATACGCAAATCTAAAAAACATGAATGCAGTGATAAACTACAAGTATAGTCTGATCATATTTGCACATTTTCGAAAGGATTTATTCTGCAAAATTTTGAGATGACGTAATCAATTTTTTGGGGTTGATAAACAGATACATTTTGATCAAAAAGTTACCATGCTTACAATAACTTCAAAACATCTGCAAGATTTCAATTCTTGTTTTAATCAATAAAATAAATTGATTCAGTTATTGATTTTTTTGAGACACCCCGTATAAGCAAATCTAAAAAATATGAATGCAGTGATAAATCACAAGTATTGACTCATCATACTTTGCACATTTAAGATAGGACTTATGCAGCAAAATTTTGAGGGGATGTCATCAATTTTTTAGGGGGGATGAGTAAATATATTTTGATCAAAAATTTACCATACTTATCAGAATTTTCAAATATCTCCAAGATTTCAAAGCATTCGGTTTTGTAGTTCCTGATATAAATCAATAAAATAAATTCACGCATTCTTAAATTTTTGTGAGTCACCCTGTATATGCAAATCCAAAAAATATGATTGTACAATTTAGATAGGATTTAAATTCAGTAAAATTTTGAGGTGACGTCATCAATTTTTTGGACGGGATAAGTAAATAGATTTTGATTAAACATTTATTATGTTTATCATAACTTTAAAACATCTGTAACATTTCAAAGCATTCGGTTTTGTAAATTCAAAATTAAATTGTAAAATGTTGCTGTATAATTTTGATTTTTTTCCAAAAATCTGGACGTTTCGGGTGAAAACTCAATACGGAATCATAAACTACTATATTATTTCATACTATTTAAAACCTATTTATTATGTACAGTTTTGAAGTGACGTCATCACATTATTGTTGGGGATGATTAGACAAAATTTGTTTAGCGTTTTACCATGATATTCCTAATATAAATACAAAATTTGATTACTATAGGCTCAGTATTTTCGGAAATTATCTGTCTAATAAAAATCGGGACGGCAGACGGACAGACAGGCGGACAAACAGACGGACAGGCAGGCGGAAACGGGAGAATTATTTCTTCGTACTCTAGGGGTTATGAAAGGTCTAGCAAACGTAAAAGTAGAGGGTCGGCCGACGGACTCGATTACAATACTTCCTTCGCTTACGCTCGGGAAGTAAAAAAACAGTTTCCTAATTTATTAATTGTTTTGTATCACCCTGTATAAGTAATATTAAAAATTATGAATCCACTGATAAACCAAAATACAGAGTCATCAGATTTTGCGTATTTTAGATAGGATTTATTCAGTAAAATTTTGAGGTGACATCATCAATTTTTTTGGGAAGGGGTAAACGGATAAATTTTTGTTACGTATTCACCATGCTTACGCTAAGGAAGTAAAAATTTACAGTCGAACAAATAACGCTTCAAATAGGTATTTAAGAACCTAGGGCATTATGATTTAATAACGTCCGTGGTGCATACATTTTAATTTTCACCAGTTTCAAGAATTAAAATAAGCTAGTAGTAAGCTTTAATATGGCATTCATACGGTTTGGTCAGAGAAAAACTACGGGTGAAGAATCGTTAAAAAAGCTACAAAGGCAAAAGAAAATTTAAATTAGTGGGCGTTATAAAATCATAGGGTGTTATGAGCTTGTTAATAACAACCGTATGTATGGTATTATACCTTAAGTCTATAATTGACACGTGAAGAATAAAAGTTATCAAATTTAACTTTGAGATTTTTTTATGATCTCTATGACCTAAAATTAATAAATATATGTGTGGATTGCTAAAGTGTAGGTGAAGAAGCATTGTATGCTTATGTTTCTAGTGAATTTTTTCATATATATATTATTTCCCGAGCGTAAGAGAAAAAGGTACTGTAATCGAGTCCATCGACCAACTCTCTATTTTTACATTTCCTTGACGTTTCATTGCTCCTAAAGTACGAAGAAATAGGTCTCCCGTTTCCGTCTGTCTGTCTATCTGTTTGCCGTCTGTCCGGATTTTTATTAGAAACTACTGGACCGATTGTTGAAAAATTTTATATATGTATAAGGAGTATCTTGTAGATGGTAAAACGCTAATCAAAATATGGATATCATTTCCAGCAACAATTTGATGACGTCCGCTCATTATATTGCATAATTTTGTATGAACTTGTGTTTTACAAATATACCTTGATTTTGTTTATTATAGCTATTTTTTTATTTTTTAAACTTCCTTGTTATTTACCAAGCCAGAACGTGACGGTCACATATGAGGTTTAGCTTACTGGTAAAGTGCCTTTTTCTTAGACCCAAATTCATTAGAAACAATAAATTTATTAAAATTAATCACTCTCTAATTTTTGATTGATTAAATTAAGAACGAGTCACCTCATTTTTTTGGAAATGTGAAAATACGAACGTTCTTATTTAATAAGGATTAAATAATAATATTCAGAACATTTTGTTCGATTCTAGCTTACTTAATAATTTTAATCCTGTTTTGTTTTAATTAATTTCTACTTGACATTCTTCTGATGTATAAATATAAAACACTTTCAAGTTGTTTTACTTATGGAGCATAAGCTAAGGACGTATAGTATTAATAATGGAGTACTTCATATTTTTTCGACGTTTCATGACTCCTAGACAACACCATAGCTAGACGCCTGCTGAGCCTCCCCTAGAGAAATTGCCTCCTCTAGATCTAAACAAGTTAGAATTAACCAAATGCGAATTACAGCATCGAAACTGAAAATAAAATGCAATGTTTTATTTAATAAGCGGAAGTCAGAGTAAGAAAAAAGTGTGGACTATCGGCATTGTCATCCGGTTATTGCAATTCGTAGAAATTAGAAAATATCTTTCAGTTTAGTTTCTCTGTTTCACTCTCACGTATACAACTCTACAAGCGTTATCGTTATTTGTTTTAAATTGCCACTACTATAAATGATTTTCCGTTCATTCTTCAGTGGTACCTCTGTTACCACACACTCACTTGAAACAAACGCGTAGCACGTTTCTGTATCTTTACTTGACATCACATACATACCTTTATTTTAACTTATAATGGTTGCTACAAAAAAATAAAAGTCGCCAAATGAAATCTTTTAATTTTTCGAAGGAGCCGGATTTGATATACTTTCTTCTTTCTTTTCTTCGACCGATTTTTTTTATGACGTCAACGTCAACATTTTAACTAAGATACGTATATTAATTTGAAAGGTGCAGTATAATAGTATAATACTTTTAATCACATAATAACATAATAATACATATATGCAATATTTGAATAAAATAACGTCATCAGATTTTTGCATGAAGCAGTATAAAATATACTTTATACATAATTTTAATCATTCCGTTTTTCTAAGACAACGTCACCATATCATGAAAATTTATAAAACAAAATAAGCTGTGTGATATGTCGGTAAGTAGTTTTCCTTAAATGTAATTTTTTATAAGACACATCATCATCATCATTTTCATCATCAGTTGTTAGCTGGTCATACCACAGGCAATTTTTGAATATTAAATAGCAACTAAATTGGTATTTTTCTAATGTACATCTGAGATAATGTTTACTACATAATCTTTTGAAATGATGTCATTAACTTTCAATGAGGACAACACACATTCATTTTAAGGTGTACAATATAATGCAATTAGTAACGTTAATGTCTTCCAGACTAATTAATTAGTTGAACACTTCTAAAAGAAAATCAACAAAGTATGTAGGTAATATTCATTTTAATTGTTTTAAGGATATTGTGTAAGTATTTTAAAATATACTAGAACTGCATTGAAACACAAATAGTATTATAGTCGGGGGTGATATATTTAATTTGTTATGATGTTAGGCAGGTGTTCCATGCATTAATTTTACTACAGGGTGTTAATAAATGATTTATCTTTAGAGGGCCATGAACACTTGACAAAAAAAAGGCAGTTTCGAAAAATACAGTTTTTGGCGGCAGAAGTTGATTATTGCCATTGTACATCAATCTCTTGGCTAGATCAAAAATAGACTTCGATAATAAATTGAATCCACATTTTTATAGAAAAGGACATAGATTCTTTGTGATAACTGATAATAAACGTTAAGATTTGATTCAAAGTTTGACAACTAATAAAGCGCCACATTAATAAATGAATTTCATAGCCCACTAGATGTACCTCATTTATTAACACCTTGTTGATATAGTACATATATGTAACACAAGTCTAATGAAATTAGATGAACGAATTTTTGAGTTAGTCCACAAACAAAAATAAAAAATAATCGGAATTTTCGTGATCTGTAAGCTTTGAATTGCAAAGTATACATAACACTTGTCCAAAGACAAAATGAATAGTCAGTATTTCCAAAATTGTAATTTAAATTGAGATAATACATTTCAACAATGTTAATTTAAACTTCCGTACAGTCATCACTGGTCAAAACTAATTTCAGAACCAATTGACATTTGATTAATTGCTGATTTTGCTCATCGAGTCGAATTTTGTAAACAATTATGTAATATATCACGCATCTGGATTAGATCGCCGTAAATAATTGCGAAAGATGATTTGAAATAAGTTTGTATATGTATTAATAATTTTGTGCGAGTTCAGTTACTTTCTACGAAGTCACCCACATATGGTACCTGTTGGTAGTTGCATTGTACCTACGTGTAATCTCTAATACGTAAACTGCAAACAAAAAAATCACCTATTTTCACAGTGCAAATATTCTCTAATTGTGCAACTTTCATTGGAAGCCATGCAGAAACTTTATGCAGTGAATGGTTCCAGCAAAAATAATAATTATGTCTAATTATATTATGGTACTCCAGCAAGTGTCGCATCGCCTATTTCAGCCATGATTTTTGCGAATACATTGTTTTCCAGTTTTTTATGTCGTAATCAGATGTTGGCAAAAACCCTCAACCGGTTCTCGTTTATGCAAATTAAAATCCTATTTATGAGTTTATTATTGACGACGGTCTCCATTAAAACATTAAAAAAATTAGATGTATCTTAATTGGCGGATCATTTTCATTTTAACTGGAACTTTCAACCTGGCTTTCGGAAGAGTCAAGGTTATGCCTTGATGAAATACCTAAAGGATTTGTTTTTTGCGCCGATCACTTCTCAGGATCTTAAAGTTCAAAGTTAACCAAGTTCCTCATTGATGATTTCTGAATCGTAAAAAAATGCTTCGCATTTTTTCCGTGGCATTTATCCTGAATTACAAATTTTTTCCGAATTACGTCTCGAAGCAGTGGAGTTATCTTAAACAGACACGTTATATCATCCTGTTTCTTAGCAGGAGGTGTGGTGGTGGCAGCCACTTTCGAAAGGGCCACCACTACCAGTGCGGCTCTGTGAGCCTCTTCTGTCAAAACCAGAAGCTCTCCACGGTGATTCTTCAGTACCGGGCGAGAATCCATCCTAGTTAAATATTTTAAACGTTAGTGTAAGTGAAAATAATGAAGAGTGAAGTGTGCGTTTTAGTTTTGGCACTCTGCGGTGAGCTTCTTTTATTGATTTTTTTGTGATTAAAAAAAAATAGATTGAATTCAATTGAGTGGTTGGTGATTTTCGGTTTTACATCACTTTCATTACTTGGGATACAGAATATTCATACGCTCTTCTCAGAAAAATTATAAATTTAAATTAGTGAAAGCAAAAGTCTTTGCGATGTTTGAGTTTCTGTTATAGTCCAACAACCAGTAATAACGCGGTTAATTAATTTATTTAGAACATATTTTGTAAATCAATTTTAGATTATTTCTAAAAAAGAAAAAATTAAATTAGCAGTTTCAAACTAAAAGTATTTCAGAAAATAATAGAAGGGTTCACGGAAAAAGATTTTGTTTACATTATTGGATACAAGGTGTCTAAAAATAGATTCCAGTATTGAAAGATCTGTGAACCTAATGGTTTTTAGCTTAAAGGGAACTCCAAAAGAATGCACAGCGAAGCGTTTTTGACATTGGCATCGAAATGTTAATTTAAAGATGACACTATTTAAAGAATTTGGTTGTTTTTCCGGTATACATAGTTAAGCTTTTTGTTACAAACAATGGCGTTTACAAAATTTGAATGTAATAAAATAATGTTTACTATTCGTAACTCACTATAAAAGATTTATGTTACCAAGAAAAATGTTTACGTTACCTTAAACACGTATGGGAAAAGGTTGTGTCGTTTTGCTTGCAACATCAGTGTTATTGCAGCTACACATATTTTACAATCTATTAAATTTCACGTAGGGATTATAAATGTTGATTATCCAAATGTCAGATTTATGCACCGGAATTTGCTCCAGAATATGTATACGTTTAATCGCGAATCCTTATTTGAGAAATAATTGTTATTTAACTTTTTTTTAATAAAACCATAAAAGTTTCATCCCTCAATTCAGTAATTTCTTTGTTGAGCGTTGATAGAAATAGAGATATTTAAAAATTGTGAGTGTGTGAGCCACTGAAGTTATTTAAAAGATGTTTAGGGCTGCTGGATTAATTTATTCAAAATTTTTAAGCTTTTATTAAGCAATGCCAGGTAGTTAGTGGTGTGCTAGTTGACCATTTGTTGCAATACAATAGGAACTTAATTAATTAAATTTCTATTCTGACATTTTTTTCATGAATTAAACTTCACATGGTGTAGTTTGCAGTACAAGAGTTATTAGTAGGCAAAATAAACGGTTACCAATCTTTTTAAAATTATATATCGGTAGTTGATAGTTTGTGAAATAATTATCTTTAAATCACGATGTGGCTGTAATAAAGTAATTCAAGATGTGTTTGGTCGATAATTTATTTGACATTTAATCGCAGTGTGCTATTAATTACTTCGTCGAAATTTCGGTAAAAATTTAAAGCACGTGTTTACATGTTATAAATGTCACGTTCTCTAAACTAGGTTTTATAAAAAAGAAAAAAAAATAGAAATTTCGTATTACCTCGCGGAAAATCGATTATGTAATTTGTCTAAGACATACTTTATGCAGTACTTGCGGTACATGTGAAGGTTACTGCTTAACCCTCAGTAATATTTTTATTTTGTTGAAAATTTTCAAGTTAAAATTTGTTTGTCTATTAAATTTAAGTTATTTTAGTGTAAATTTATACCTTCAGGAATTTTTGTACCTGCACATATTTAGTACATGACATCAAGATGTGATGTCATGGAAAAAATGGGATTTTTTTGATGAAATGTCAATGGCAAATGTGTTTGCTCTTTACGGTGTTACCGCAAGTAATAATGATGCATGCATCACTTATTTATTACTTGTTATGCATTAAGTATTAATTTACAAATGTCATAGTTCACTTCTGGGTTCTTAAAACAGTTATTCATGGTTTTAGAAAAAAATGCAATAAATTTAATCATTTTCAGGAATATCTGACAGTTATTTTATAGTAATTACGTGTATGATGTATAGAATGATGACAACGTATTATTTATTTCAAAATGCTTGTCGTCAACGCAGATGGCTGCGAAAAATTCTGAATAAAGTTGGCAGTACATCAGATATAGTAATTTTGAAATTATTTGTTGGTATTTCAATTGTGTGGTCACAAACACGTGTGTCAGCCGTGCTGTAATCTTCGTCGTTTTTAATTTGCTTATTTTTACAAATTTTTATTATAAAAGTAATATTGTTTTTAAACGAAAGATAGTTTGCCGTTGTTATCACGAGCTTCTGACTTGTCTTTTTTTTAAATCATAACCTTAAACGATAAAATCGACGTCTAGTTACATTTTTGTAACTAAAGCTAAAGGCGGATTTGCAAAATCATAGCCTACTGCGTCGATACCTCTTTTGAAATGTTGTTATAATGCATTATTTTTTTAGTTCAGTTTATTTAGTTTAATTTTTCAAATATACATTAAATAAAAGCAGTTCTTTAAAATATATTGAAGATAGATGTAGAATGTAAATTTCAGTTCGTAGTATAAGACATAATGTATTATTCAATATTATCCACTGAGTAACAAAATGCTTAAATAATCTCTTCAGAAAGATAAAATTATATAGTGTGCAATGCCAAGCTTTGAATGCATGAAACGTCGCTTTATGAAAATAAACAGAGTGTTTTATTGATATGTGTTGATAATTTGTTTAATGTTTTTAGATATTTAACGAAAAATTAATTAAATAATCAAAAATAATGAATATGGCGGATTTTTATTGTTTGCGGTTTCTTATAGTTTTAACATTTTTACAAGTATAGTTGTTCCAGTCTGACTTCGTTTTTATGTCACTGCAATCTCAACTACCGCAAGCATTATTAATTCTATTGAAAATGTAAATAGCTGTGCCATAAATTAATTAAGGGCTTATGTAGTGGTCTCTTGATGGTTTATGACCGCTGGTTTACCTGTGGGAGAGATCTATTGTGGAAGACCTAACTCCTTAATAGAATACAGTCGTAAAAACGAACCAGCACTTGGAGCACTATACTTACATGCTCGTCACGTTATGCAGATCTCTGCACCGAAACTATTTGGCATAACAACTAATTCAGCATTGATAATCAAGTCACATTTGATTTTTTGGCACGTAACAAATCAGCTGAGACGAAACCGGTATCTTTCGATTATTATCCATTTCACGTGTATTTAAATAAGTGCTATAAAGTTCATCATAAGTGACGCATTTTAATTTTTTACGGCGTCCACATTTTTTCAATTTTTCTTGAATTTCAACTTAAATATTCGTGCATTTACGCATCAAAAATTTCCTCAATCTATTTTTAGTTTTTCAGCAGTAATGTCACTTCACATTCTCAAATTGAACAAAATGATTTTTAAAATCTACAAAAATAGTATGCAAATATTTTTGAACAAAAAAGCACACTTGTTAATATATGTATTACTGTTAATAAACGGAACAATTTCATATAAATTCTACAATAAATATCAGAAAAATATAACTAACGTAACACACCAGATGCACGATAATCGATTGGTGTGATCTACAATAAATTCATGATCGATGTCTTCGCAAATTACAGATTTAACGAAGTGGCAAACATTTCCTCGAAATCATGTAAACCGCATTGCTTTTGGACCTTATATTGCTTTTTTAAGTTGAGCCAAAATTTGCTCCAAAACCGGGTTCCTGGTGTTGAACAAGAATTCACAGAGTAATTTAAGTTCGATAAAACCGCATTTCATTTGAACTGAACTGAGCTTCTAGACTGCAAGTTTTACACAACATTGTCATTTTTGAAAAACTAATTTTTTATAGGTGCAATAAATTATTTACCAATTAAAATTATAAAATATAAAACTAATTAATTACTAAAAAAACTACAAATTTGTTTTATGGGTTTTACATTTTTTATTTAATTTGCACATAAAAGTTGAGAAATCTGTCTTTTATTTTATCATTATTCTCTGTAATGGGGTCAGTGGTTGGAATAGTCTTCTCACTTGTAAATATAAATAAAAAGCAACAGATGGTTTAGGTCGTATTACTTTCTATATAAAAAAAGAAAAAATGCACATTTTGGACTTCATTTCACTATAAATAGAAAGTCAGGAAGACATACACTTATTTTCACGTTTTCAAAATTTAATGTCAAATAGATATGTTGACTCACTCACTCTTGAGACAACTACTTTCACGCGTAATTATCATTATATTGCATTTCTATATCCACATACTTTAACGGGTGAAGTGAAGTTAAAAAATTATGGTACAGACGTTGCATTTTATATTTCTATTAGTTCTAATAGGTTTCTAATTTTTATCTCCTTTTAGCGTTATATAAATAATACAGACATATAAAAAGACCGTTTAAAAAAAATGTTAACCGTTTAATGATTATTTATTAATGAAATCAGTTGTGCAATTTTCATTAATATAATGTGATGAGCTACGTTTTTATTCGTATGCATGCTGACATAAATTGAAATTATTAAAGTTACATAAATGGTTAGGTAAGGACAATTTCTTTCGCATTAGTCACGGAAATGACTAAAAATAAACAGCTGTATTTTACACAAACTAAAATAATTAAGGCTAATTGTCAGTTTACTACACCTTTCCCATCTATATTAAAAAAATGAAAATGACTTAGGAAAAAGTGTCGCTTTTGTGCCTTCCTCTATTGGTCGATAATGGGATTCTGTTACGAATGCCATCTTCAAACAAAGATCGTTATTGATAGCATATGAGTAGAAAGTGACCCAGAGAAAGTGAACCTACTCTCACAATACATTATGTCTGGACCGATGCCATTTAGCAGATTACGCCCATTTTACACACGGAGTTTATTCACACAGTAGTCCGGCATAATTCTCACCATTGATAATTTCGCAAACCCCATCGGACTGCATTCTGTGGGCAGAAACCTTGGTAAACAATCTAATTTGAAGGTGAGGTCCGTCAAAAAAGCAGAAGAAAAAATGATGGAACTCTACTGACTGACGGCGTTTCATCGCATTAGAGAAAGTAGAGCGAGATTCAAACTGACCATGAACTTTCAACAGCCACCATGATCTGGTTC